TCTCCCTGCTCCAACAACTCCCATCACGCTGTTCCAGCCACATGCGGTCAAAGACTCCCAAGCCGATTGGACCAAGTTCTCCCTGCTCCAACAACTTCCATCATGCTGTTCCAGCCACATGCGGTCAGAGACTCCCACGCCGATCGGACCAAGTTCTCCCTGCTCCAACAACTCCCATCATGCTGTTCCAGCCACACGCAGTCAGAGACTACTCACCTCCTCTCCAGAACTGGCCATTCGTTACCGCCGGCGCTATGAGACCCCTTACCGGCTTCCCGGGCCTTTTCCTGGACCAAACCTCTGTGTCCACCAAGTCTGGGTACTTTCCAGCCGCAAAGCTGACCTCTCAACTCACAAGCTTCGGGTCAAGTCGTTTGTTTCCTGTAGCAGTCAAATCCACGAACCGTGAGTCTGCCTGTACGGGCCAAATCCATGAACACGCAATTGTTCACACGTTTACGTTCTTACATACCGTACATTTTGGACTTTTTCCAGTTCAGGACTTAAGTCAGTTCACCTTCTCCTGCCGGCTCTTTGTTCTATTCCTATTCGCTAGTTTCTTTTTGTCAAATTTCTACCGAACTAGTCTCCAGTCTATCTCCGTTACATGCTTCCATCTAGCGGCCACCACAATCATAGTACCAATTCGTTAGTTTTATACTGTTCCCTGATACATGAATGTCCAGGTTCTTTTTAGAAAGTATTTAGCCTAATTCAGCTCTGGTAAGCGTTTAATATTCACTACATATATTGCATTACCATCATATATCACATATGTCTTATTTTATCACTCATGGACTTGGTACTGTTCTGAGGCAGTCATCATGTTCACATTTGTTACCATGTGTTATGGCAAATCTGTATACTTGCTCCCATGATAGGTATATTACTTATTTGGCGGACGACCACCTATTCGCTAAACATTTTTGTAACACGCCACACTCCTATGTTCAGTATATGTATCGTCATGTTCCCTGGGACAAACCCTAGTGTACCAGGCTTTACCATACCATCATATGTTCCCCCTGACTCTACGTCAAAATAATCACGTATTATGCAAAAGGTTATTTACTCTTCGCTGCTACGTTCTACTCAAGCAAGTTCATCATCCTGACCGACCCTTGCTACACCAAACTTACAGCAACTCCACTCCACTAACTGTTCTATGTTACATGAGCCAACGCTGGCACGCAATTCCTCCGCCAGGCCGGACACAGGCCCATGCCTGGGGATCCTTAATTCCCCATACATACACCCCCCTTCCCATGCTGGCACGACCATAATTAAATATTCTAAGTCCTACCGGGATAGCTCAAAACTGCCCTCATAGCTTGGTATTTCATATCCCCCTATATGTATTTTAGCTAAAGAAGTCACATGACCAATTAGCAGTCACTCATGACTCTGCCTATCCCCCATTATCCCCCATTATTGTTGCAGTATTGGTTAAACACTCCCCATGGTCTCTGGTAATGGCCTAGGATCCTCACCCTACTCACTCATAGGGATATTTGATTTATGTCCTATGAATCTTGTACCCAACATCGTAACACAATCACGTTGCTTAAGAAGGTATTTGACAACCATATTAATTACCCACCCCTTGTCTCAACTCATTGATTTCCTCTAAGGAATTCTCCCACCACCCTTAGGGGTTGACCGGAGCTTGGGTGTGCAAGACAGACATTTCCTATGCCTCCAAGCTTCTACCTATTCAGCCATCCTGAGGGCATGTTCGTGGCATTTTATGGAGGGATTGTAATGACTTTCCCACATGTGTAACTTTTAGAGCAAAGAGTAACCCCAAGCTGTTTGTCTTATTTGCTAACACACTATCTTGACTAACACTCAATATTAGCGAATGTCCTGCAGTCACCCGTTATCTTAGATAACCTCCTCGCGATAAAACGCCCTCACTCTGCTCTGGTTAGTATTCACAAGACAATGGCACTTTTCCTCACTATGGGTTCCACTTTCATAAACTGACCTTCTTAGGCATTCATCTTGACACTAATGTGCTACAGATCATGTCCACCTACAGAGAAGGTACAGCGCATCGGAGTCTTGTGAACGTTTCCTTCTGAAGAGCACGTGGGCGGGGGGGGGGAGGGGAGAATTGATCTACAGTCCTACTGGGCACATTGAAGTTCGCCATGAGAATTATTCTGCACATTTATTTCCAGACCGCTGAGTCTTCTTCCCACCAACAAATGCATTCTGGCACTAGTTTTAAGCAGACCTACACAAATGGCTCAGGTTCATACCACACTGGAATAGGAGGCCAGGTTATTCCTGCCATTTCTCATCATTTCCCAGTTACATGGACCAATGCATCCGCATACACTGATTTGACAGCCAATTTGGTGACTTTAGGTTCTGAGATGCCTGGCCAGTTGAGACTCTTGAAAAAAAAAAAAAAAAAACCTTTCCATTCCTCGTCAACATTTCTTTTGAATCTACCCCATAGTGGCTGCCTACAAGGCCTGGGGAGGTATGAGTGGATAAGAGAACCTGTCAAGTGCTTCTCTGACCATAAAGCAGCTGGCTATACCCACATTCCATGGCTTAATCCTGCACTAACTCGCCTCATGGCATTTGGCAGATTTATGGCTTGAGCTGCCCTCTCTGATTATACATCACAAGCATACAATAGAGATTTCACCTTTACAACAAGTTTACCACAGATTACCATAATACCGATATTCGTTCACTAGTCGCCATTGCGACACTCCTCTCCTTTTTGCCCACACAATTTAAAAAATCTCTCTTAACACTACAAAACTTACCTGGCTGAAATACACCACCATATCTTGAGTGCCTATCCTAGTACCAAACAGTTCACATCCTCTTACCATATGTAATACGTAGGGACACAAGGACTATTCATAGAAACATAGAATGTGACGGCAGATAAGAACCATTCGGCCCATCTAGTCTGCCCAATTTTCTAAATACTTTCATTAGTCCCTAGTCTTATCTTATAGTTAGGATAGCCTTATGCCTATCCCACGCATGCTTAAACTCCTTTACTGTGTTAACCTCTACCACTTCAGCTGGAAGGCTATTCCATGCATCCACTACCCTCTCAGTAAAGTAATACTTCCTGATATTATTTTTAAACCTTTGTCCCTCTAATTTAAGACTATGTCCTCTTGTTGTGGTAGTTTTTCTTCTTTTAAATATAGTCTCCTCCTTTACTGTGTTGATTCCCTTTATGTATTTAAATGTTTCTATCATATCCCCCCTGTCTCGTCTTTCCTCCAAGCTATACATGTTAAGATCCTTTAACCTTTCCTGGTAAGTTTTATCCCGCAATCCATGAACCAGTTTAGTAGCCCTTCTCTGAACCCTCTCTAAGGTATCAATATTCTATGGACAATAAGGTGCTGGTCAAAATGTCAGACCTTTACAGGCTATCACTCACTGGACCAAATCTCAATATTCCCCTATTTAACTGCAGGGCAAACCACTGAGGGTTCTGTACCTCAGGACCCTCTTAACTAGGTGGGGACTCAACCCCAATGCCTTTTCGGGACATTCCTCCAGAATCAGGGTAGCATCAGCTGCTTCCAGACAAATGTCCCTGCTCACACTATAAACATTAGGACGCTGGAAATCCACAGTATATTACTAGATACATACCACAACCAGAGCTAGAGTTGAGTAGGACAAGCCTTTACGAATCTTGCAACGTAGAGATGTGTAATAAGGTATCATATTCAGGGGTGGACTGACCACTCAGGCATATCGGTCATGGACCGAGGGCCCGAGACAGTCAGGGGCCCGGCCGCACAGCCATGCTCCAGCTGGAGAGATCAAAGATCTCTCCAGCTGGAATGAAAAAATAAATAAAACTATTTAAATGATAGGTTGTGGGGCCCCTGATGCAGCGTGGGGCCCCACAGCCTACCGCTCTCTAAATCCACCCCCCTCCCTCCTCCCATGAGACCTGGCAGCTTCACCTCCTCTCTGCCAGGTCTCCTGCTTCCAGTCCCGCGGTGCTCTGTGTGATGGGAGAGGCGGGACAGGAAGTGACATCACTTCCTGTTTACTCCTCTCACACACAGAGCCCAGGAGGGGAAGGAGCAGCAGCCGGGGAGACCACAAGGAGCAGAGAGAAAGGTAGGCACTAGTCATTCTCCACTGTCACTAATCACCCCCCCCACTGTCACTAATCTCCCCCCCACTGTCACTAGTCACCTCCCCTCACTGTCACTAGTCACCTCCCCTCATTGTCACTAGTCACCCCCCACTGTCACTAGTCACCCCCCCACTGTCACTAATCACCTCCCCTCACTGTCACTAGTCACCTCCCCCACTGTCACTAGTCACCTCCCCACTGTCACTAGTCACCTCCCCCCACTGTCACTAGTCACCCCATAATCTAATTCTCCCCCAATGTTACTAGTCACCCCCCACTGTCACTAGTCACCTCCCCTCACTGTCACTAGTCACCCCCCCACTGTCACTAGTCACCTCCCCTCACTGTCACTAGTCACCTCCCCACTGTCACTAGTCACCTCCCCCCACTGTCACTAGTCACCCCCTCACTGTGTCACTAGTCACTCCCCCTCATTCTGTCACTAGAGTGAGGGAGGGGGTGACTAGTGACAGAGTGAGGGACGGGGTGACTAGTTACAGAGTAAGGGAGGGGATGACTAGTGACAGAGGGAGGAATGGGGTGACACAGTGACAGAGGGAGGAGGTGACTAGTGACAGAGTGAAGGGATGACTAGTGACAGTTAGGGAGGGAGTGACTAGTGACAGAGGGAGGGATGGGGTGACGTGACAGTCACCACCTCCCTCCCTCTGTCACTAGTCACCATCTCCCTCCCTCTGTCACTAGTCACCCTCTCCCTCATTCTGTCACTAGTCACCCCTCCCTCACTCTGTCACTAGTCACCCATTCCCTCACTCTGTCACTAGTCACCCATTCCCTCACTCTGTCACTAGTCACCCTCTCCCTCACTCTGTCACTAGTCACACCCTCCCTCACTCTGTCACTAGAGTGAGAGAATGACTGGTGACAGAGTGAGGGAAGGGGTGACTAGTGGCAGAGTGAGGGAAGGAAGGGATGACTGGTGACATAGTGAGTTAGGGGGTGACTAGTGACAGAGTAAGGGACGGAGGGGGTGACTAGTGACAGAAAGAGGGAGGGAGTAGTGACAGAGTGAGGGAGGTGGTGACTAGTGACAGGGTGAGGGAGGTGGTGACTAGTGACAGTCACCACCTCCCTCACTCTGTCACTAGTCCCACCCTCCCTCACTCTGTCACTAGTCACCCACTCCCTCCCTCACTCTGTCACTAGTCACCCCCTCTCTCACTCTGTCACTATTCACCCCTTCCCTCACTCTGTCACCTGTTACCCCCTCACTCTGTCACTAGTCACCCCCTCACTCTAGTGAGAGAGTGAGGGAGGGTGTGACTAGTGACAGAGGGAGGAGTGACTAGGGACAAAGTGAGGGAGGTGGTGACTAGTGACAGTCACCACCTCCCTCACTCTGTCACTAGTCACCACCTCCCTCACTCTGTCACCAGTCATCCCCTCACTCTGTCACCAGTCATCCCCTCACTCTAGTGACAGAGTGAGGGACGGTGTGACTCCTTTACTCTGTCACTAGTCACCCCCTCCCTCACTCTCATTGTGTCACCCCCTTCCTCACTCTGTCACTAGTCACCCACTCCCTCCCTCACTCTGTCACTAGTCACCCCCTCTTTCACTCTGTCACTAGTCATCCCCTTCCTTACTGTCACTAGTCCCACCCTCCCTCACTCTGTCACTAGAGTGAGGGGGTGACTAGTGACAGAGTGAGGGCGTGACAGGTGACAGAGGGAGGGGATGACTGGTGACCGACTGAGGGAGGGGGTGACTAGTGACAGAAGAAGGGAGGGACTAGTGACAGAAGGAGGGAGGGAGTAGTGACAGAGGGAGGTGGTGACTAGTGACAGTCACCACCTCCCTCACTCTGTCACTAGTCACCCGTTTATTCCCTCACTCTGCCACTAGTCACCCCCTCACTCTAGTGACAGAGTGAGGAAGGGGGTGACTAGTGACAGAGGGAGGGGTGACTAGGGACAGAGTGAGGGAGGTGGTGACTAGTGACAGTCACCACCTCCCTCACTCTGTCACTAGTCACCCCCTCCCTCACTCTGTCACTGTGTCACCCCCTCCCTCTGTCACTGGTCACCAGTCATCCCCTCACTTTGTCACTAGTAACCCCTTCCTTCCCTCACTCTGCCACTAGTCACCCCTTTCCTCACTCTGCCACTAGTCACCCCTTTCCTCACTCTGTCACCTGTCACCCCCTCACTCTGTCACTAGTCACCCCCTCACTCTAGTGAAAGAGTGAGGGAGGGTGTGACTAGTGACAGAGTGAGGGAGGGTGTGACTAGTGACAGAGAGAGGGAGGGGGTGACTAGTGACAGAGTGAGGGAGGTGGTGATTAGTGACAGAGGGCGGGATGGGGTGACTAGTGACAGTAACCACCTCCTTCACTCTGTCACCCCCTTCCTCACTCTGTCACTGTGTCACCCCCTTCCTCACTCTGTCACTAGTCACCTACTCACTCTGTCACTAGTCACCCCCTCTCTCACTCTGTCACCAGGCATTCCTTCACTCTGTCACCAGTCATCCCTTCCTTCCCTCACTCTGCCACTAGTCATCCCTTCCCTCACTCTGTCACCAGTCATCCCCTCACTCTGTCACCAGTTACCCCTTCCTTCCTTCACAGTGACAGAGTTCGGGAGGGAGTGACTAGTGACAGAGTGAGGAAGGTGGTGACTAGTGACAGAGGGAGGGGTGATTAGTGACAGAGTGAGTGAGGGGGTGACTAGTGACAGAGTGAGGGAGGGGGTGACACAGTGACAGAGTTAGGGAGGGAGTGACTAATGACAGAGAGAGGGATGGGGTGACTAGTGACAGTCACCCCCTCCCTCCCTCTGTCATTAGTAACTCCCTCCCTCTGTCACTAGTCATTCCCTCCCTCTGTCACCAGTCATCCCCTCCCTCTGTCACCAGTCATCCCCTCACTCTGTCACCAGTCATCCCCTCACTCTGTCACTAGTCACCTATTCCCTCCCTCACTTTGCCACTAGTCATCTCTTCCCTCCCTCCCCCACTCTGCCACTAGTCACCCATTCCCTAACTCTGTCACTAGTCACCCCCTCTCCCTCCCTCTGTCACTAGTCACCCACTCCCTCACTCTGTCAACAGTCACCCCCACTCACTGTGTCTCCCCCTCACTCTGCCACCACTCAACCCCTCCTTCCCTCACTCTGCCACCAGGTACCCCCTCACTCTGCCACCTGTCACAACCTCCCACACTCTTCCACCTGTCACCTTCTCCCTCATACACTCTGTCACCTGTCACATATGCATTCACACAGACACTATATACAAAAAAGCACATGTAGTCATCCAGACATGCACAAGTGCATTCACACAGACTCAAATACAAACATGCATTGATACACAGGTCTTCACAATATACACATCCAAAGGAATGCCGTATTATGAGTTATATTTAACATTTATTTAAGGACCACTATAGTGCCCAGGAAAACATACTCGTTTTCTGGCACTGCCTCTAATTGCCCACACCCTGGGACCCTCCCATGCTCTGGAAGGGAAGGGGTTTAAAAACTTACCTTTTTCCAGCGCTGGGCGGGAGGCTCTCCTCCTCCTCTCCGCCTCCGTTCGCCCGCCCTGAATGCGCACGCGCGGCAAGAGCTGCGCGCGCATTCAGCCGGTCATAGGAAAGCATTTACATGCTTTCCTATGGACGCTGGCGTGCTCTCACTGTGAAAATCACAGTGAGAAGCACGCAAGCGCCTCTAGTGGCTGTCAATGAGACAGCCACTAGAGGATTAGGGGGAAGGCTTAACCCATTCATAATTATAGCAGTTTCTCTGAAACTGCTATAATTATGAAAAAATGGGTTAACCCTAGAAGGACCTGGCACCCAGACCACTTCATTAAGCTGAAGTGGTCTGGGTGCCTAGAGTGGTCCTTTAATGCACGTATATTTGGCCTTCAAAGGGCCTGGGATCTAATTTTGCCCGGGGGCCCCAAAGGCTCTCAGTCCGCCCCTGATCATATTCAACTTTTTGCCCTCTTTTATAACAGGCCTACCCGATACGTTGGTTGCGGCACACCGCAACCGACTTGCTCATATATCTAACTTATCATGGCTTTTGTCCCTGACTACAAATATATATTATCCATGGACCAATAATCCTGATTCTAATCATAAATTAACACACAAAGAAAAAGAGAGAATCTAAATCCTAGTTCTTCTCTTTTTTTTTTTTTTTTACAGTGTCAAATTTACTTTGTGATCTCTTCTAGTCGCTTGTAGGCTAGTGAGACCTCCAGTGGACATTTAAGAGACTTTCTTTCCCAGGGTCACACATGTTTTAATTCTCACATGGCTGCATAATTAAAGGGCCCCATTAAATTGCTTAAAGGAACACTCCTTGGTCCAAATAAAATACCAAATAAAATTCACTGTTTAGTAAGTATGCACCCAATGAAAACCACCAATAAATGCATGCATTAAATTATGAATTTTTCATTTGGGATATATTTAAAAACAGCTTGCAAAAAGCTTCAGATCTTTTGTCTGAATCCTTTGTAAACCGTCCCCTTCGAACCTTGCCCAGAATTTTCTGACTTCCCAATGCAGCAATGTGAAGTTTTTGCAAGGCAGGTGTTCTAGGCAATTGTCTGCCTCTTGAGTTTAGTCCCACTGAGCTAAAACTATCAGTATGTAACAGGACCAGTTGCGTGAGTGGCAGACAGGGGGTGTAACAACAATGTTAATTTATAAAAATGTCAATTTCTATTGAAATGTGCACATATTGTAAAATTAATAAAGAGGTCACACTCTTCACATATAGAGTACAGTTTGTTCAACCATAATTAAAGGGGTTCTCTTTAAGTGCCCTCACCCATCTTATATTTTGTGGGGGGGAGGGGGAGTTAGGACAGAAATGCCTGTCTTTTAATACTCTATATGGATACCGAACTCATCAACTGTAAATAAAATGTGCAGTTAAATAATAAGAGCTGAAAATAGATTAACATATTAATTCTGTTTGTTAAATGCCTCGCATGTAATTTTTTCATAGTTAATGGTAACTTTATACTTAATTCTGGCCATGATAGCCAAAACACACAGCACATCACAGTTTAAGGCTGCTTATCCACAGACTTTTCAGAGTGCCCATGATGACCCCTGCCCACCGCCAAATGTGGACACGAACAGCAGAGTTGGACCATGGAGCATTGGTGGTCTGATGAATCACATTCTTTTAGATTAGATGGATGGCCGGGTGGGTGTGCATCATTTACCTTGGGAAGAGATGGCATACTGTTGGAGGCAAAAAACAAATGAACCCATAACACACCAAAGAATATTGCACAAAAAGTTTTTATTCACATAATGCATTAATAAACACATACAAGTAATAAAGGTGGGGTTGCAGGATAACTGGTGCCTGAGAAGACAGACACCTGGAAGTAAATCTTGGCTTTATTAAAAGAACTGCCATAGGCGTGCGCATGTGGTGTGCCGGGTGTGCCTGGGCACACCCTAATCCCTGCGGCACGTCTATGGAGTGAGACCGGCAGGGGAGATCTCAGGATCTCCCCTTTCGGCTCATGCAGAGCCGGCGCTATCCGAGCTCCGGCTCTGCTCTCAGCCTCCCTCCCCACTGTTACAAAATACTGGTTACTGTTACAAAATCGCTACAAACAAGAAGCAAATGTTATTCATTGTTGCATTTCACCCAGAGTTTGGCTGCGGTACTGGGATTTGGTACCCAACTCCCGAACTACTGGCCTGATGTCTATTCGTTATACGAACGGCGGACCACCAGGATCCTGGCGTGTGCCGCCACTTAACCCCGGTCACCTCTAACAACCGAACAACCGACCACCCTAAGAGCGGAGTGTGTCTCCACTTAATCACCCAAAGAGTTGTGGTCTGCGGTTAACCGGCCTCAGGGCATTCACGTTCGTGTCCCATCGCCCGATACTCTAACCACCGAACTGGTACCGAACAAGGACCACCTACAGCCTGGCGTGTGGCTCCAATTAAAATGTTGGTTTCTGCGGTTAACCGCAGGTTAAATACCCCCTCCCGACGGTCTTCATTCGTCTCCCGAACAACGGAGACATTCAGCAACGGAGCGGTGATTCGTACAGCTTTCTAGCCGGTTCCTGTTCCACAAGTTTGAGGGTGAAGTCCCGCGGCCTATTAGTCTACCTCAAAACATGGCTGCCATCACACGTTCAGTGTCAGGATTACAGAATGATCCAGCATGTAGAACTGTGTAACACAGAGGACTGATAGGAAACGTATACCGGACCTTAGAATGGCCGGACTAACATACCAAAGAATAGTCAGGAGTAGCCGAGGTCAAGAGAAACAGAAAGAGACACAACGATAAGGAAAAGCCAGGAGTCAGGGATGCCAGAAAACAGGGAAGTCAAAAACAATGCCAAAGTCAAATAACCAGAATAACCAGAATCAATAACACGCGCTCAGACAACCACAAGGGAAAAGACGACAGGACACTGAGCAGGATGAGAACTGGGCCTAAATACCCCTCCTCTAGGTCTGATAGGCTGTAATCGGCCTTTGACCCCAAAGGCAGTTACCAGATCTCATTTGCATAATTGCTGCTCAGCATTAACCCTTCTGTGGATTTGGTTGTTGCTCGGCACAACTTTTTCTGTGTGGACAGTAAATGTCATTAACCACATTTTTGTAAGCGAATGAATACGTGACACTCAGAACCCAAAGACACGAACAGACATTATTTAGGGGAAATTAAGCGTACCATTCGTGGGTTCTGAGTGCTCTTTGGTTAATTGTTTTGCCTCAACCGGGGCTATGTAATGAATGGTGGAAGGCACGAATTATATATAAAACTGTTCGAGTTATGTATTTTTATCCTGTTTTTTATGTGGCAAAAACACGTGGGATTTTGGGCACTTGGAGATAATTGTATTGTCATAACCATTGGATTCATTATCTCCAAGCTGGGCGGTGACGATTTCAAACGATGCATTGTATTTCTAGTGGTCCCCCACTTGTATTGTCCCTGTATCCCATCAGGTCCAGAGGGGGCTGTCCCTGGGCCTGAGATTTTGCATAAATACGGTTCCCTGTGTGTCATTAAAGCCAGTTCTTCTTGCTTGACCCTCAAATTGCAGCCTCGACTCGTTTTGTGGGGAAAAGGGTATCTTAGCTGTATGATGGCTAGTGGGATTGCTCTACATTTACAGGATTCATATGGACTAACTAGCGAAGCGACTCTTCTCCCTCTCTGCCATTGGGATCCAGACCATCCAAGCGGTCCAGCTTCCAGCTAGCCTGGGGGTAACCGTAACACCCACCGACCCACAGACAGGGAGGGAGGCAGGAGAAGACCCGGGGAGCTCTTGCCAGCAGCTCCGCCGGGTTCCTCTTGCGAGATCTGAGCGTTGCCGCGGTTACCACGGCAACGCTCAGATCTCGCGAGAGTGAAGTCTAGCCCCGCAGGCTAGAGTTCACTCTCACCACTAGGACCACCAAGGAAGGCAGAAAGGATCCCCCCTCCCTGGCATAAGGTAACAAGGGAGGGGGGATATTAAGCAATCTGCCCCCACCTCCACTGGACCACCAGGCAAGGCAGCAGCATGGTCCCCCCCTCCCTACATAAGGTAAGAAGGGAGAGGGGATATTTATTAACTAATCTGCCCCACCTCCACACCCACAAATCACACAAACAGCACGCACACACACAAGAAGCACGCACACACACATACAGCACCCACACACAGCACCTACACACATACAGCAAACAAACATCACCCCCACAAACACAGCATCCTCACACAAACAGAAAACACATCACACACAGCCCTCGCACCCGCACCCACACACATACAGCACCCACACACATACACCACCCTCACAAACGCACACAAACAGCACCCTCACACACACACAGCCCACTAACAGTACCCTCACAAACACAAACAGCACCCTTACACAGCACACTAACAGGACCCTAACAAACACACACAAACAGCACCCTCACACACAGTACATTAACAGCACCCTCACAAGCGCACACACAAACACCCTCACCCACATAGCACACTACCAGCACCCTCACACAGCACACACACAGCAGCACACATACATATATATACGCGGCGTGTGCTTGTGCTTTAGGGTGCACACCCTAATGCAATAGGCCACGCACGCCTATGAGAACAGCATTATTCCCTTTAGCACCATAACCCTTATAGTTCACTGCATGGCTGTATTGCAAGATGGCACAGGGTGTAGTACCTCCTGATTCATCAGACGCTCTCTCTCTCTCTCTCTCTCTTTTTTTTTTTTTGCAATTGACAATACAATGAGGATTTTTCATTCAAAATCCTTTTTTACATGGCAATGCTGATAATATAGACAGGATCCTATTTCACTGGAAGTAAAGACAAATTCAGTCAATAACACCAGAACCCTATAATGGTTTTATACAACATTTGACTTCAATTGCATTTTACGCAGATTTGTAATCAATGCATTTTCACAGGTGAATATTTTTGGGAGCTCAGTCATGGGAAGCTTCCAATGACTCCTAAGAAGAATTACCCAAAACTAATTTCTACTAAGTGGAAAGAGCTCCCCCCTTCAATTGATGCTGCTATTAGAATGCAAAACCCAACTGCGGACCAAGATGGGAAGATTTTCTTCTTTAAGGTAAAACATTTATATATAATTTCTTGCACTGTCAATTTGCCATAAAGCTGCCAAGCTGCAGATTTTTGCAATAGTGAAAAATAAATATCCAGAACATATCCTTCTGCATCAATAACGATGTTGTTATGAGTAAAAAGTGGTCACTGGTGGATCTGGGTTAAGTGCACCAGGGCAGCAGGACTGGCAGCAGGGGCTAGCTGACGGCTTATTTCCACTCCCATCCCAAAACACCTGCTTCCAAGTTACTAAAAAAAAAAAAAGAATTGCCAGAGCCACCACTTGATAAAAACTATATTCCCAGCAGCCACTAAAAAGCATAAAAATTTCCAAGACGTTATAACATATGTGCAGTCAACTTGATAATTGCTTGATGGGTGAGACAAATAGTTGTTGTAGCTTCCCCCAGAGACCTTCCCAGTTGGTCTCTTAATAGCAGAAATAACGAAAGAAACAACTGGGAATACATCTACAAATAAGTTATGGTACTCACAAGATATAAGGGTGTAAAGAGACAATATATGCATAATAAAGCACCATAATAACTTAATCTAAACATAGGAAAGCATTGAAAATTGTTTCAATGCTTTCCTATGGGGATTTCAGCGATGCTATACCACAGAAAATCTGTGCTATAAACCTGGAAGTGCCCTCTAGTGGTTGTCTAGTAGACAGCCACTAGAGGAGGAGTTATCCCTGCAATGTAAATATTGCAGTTCATGAAAACTGCATTATTTACAGTTGCAGGGTTAAGGGTAGTGGTAGTTGTCACCCAGACCACTCCAATGGGCAGAAGTGGTCTGTGTGCTGGAGTGTCCTCTTAAAGCTTCCAGAAGTCATATTTAAAAACCTTACACTATAAAATTGTCAGTATTTTTTTTTTTTTTTCTCACACAATGCTTTTAGTACTTAACCATCAAGCTGATATGAAGCTATCATTTATCATTTGGTACTGTTATAAGCTTCCACTAGAAATCTCCAAGGTTACAGCAGTTCTCAGCAGAACACTAAATTCCATATCCACAAGTTTGTCACATTCTCATATCAATGAATTTCACCTGACTGCCTGGCTTTGAGACAAGTATAAAATTAATCTTGGCCACTTACTCAAAGCTTATTGTTCCAGTATGTTAAATTAAAAGTCCCATTTGAGTTTATACATAGTGTTTAAAAAGACAAAAGCCTAATTAAGTGTATATAAAGCAAATCTATCAATAACTGGAAATACATCAAACTGACATATTGATCAAAAATACTAATAAAAGTTAAACAGAATATAGAAGTTAATATTTATTCAAACAAGTTGCAATGTAACCTTTTAAAAAATGCAGATATTGTTGTTAACATTATTAAGAAAAACAAGGAAGGTTTTTTTGTAATACAAAAAATGTTGCTATTAATTACTTTATTTATAATATGTAAATTAGTAAAATATAAATTTACTGTTTATCAGTCCTATAAATGAAATAATTTGAGAAACTCCTATATCACACCCTTTTGGTACAATGTGGCCAATTTATTGTCCATCCTCCTAAAAAGAACCAAAGAGCCAGACCCAGAAGCTTTTCTTCTTTTTATGTGGCCAAATGCCTCACCATATACAGACCACAAATGAATATTCCATTTGTTGATCACAGCTAACACTCTACTAGCCAGGGCACGGAAGTCTACATCTGTACCTAGTACAAAAACCTTATTATGGTTGATATCCCAGAATTGGTCATTAGTGATGTCCCAAACGGTTCGCCGCTGACGGCGAACATATGCGCTGTTCGGTCCGCCCCCTTTGTCATCATTGAGTAAACTTTGACCCTGTACCTCACAGTCAGCAGACACATTCCAGCCAATCAGCAGCAGACCCTCCCTCCCAGATCCTCCCACCTCTAGGACACTAGGAACAGGTCCTGCTACAGGACTCGTCGGCTGAGACACCCACTTAAGGGAAGTGGGAGCAAAAAAAGAGACTGCAAGAGCGGCTGGAGGAGTATGGATACCCAGCCTCCGAAGCGAGTAACCTAGACATCAGAGACCAGGTCCGATACATACTCTGGACCGAGGTACTGGAGGACGTTCAGGCTCTCCGGAGGGAATCAATTGCAACCCGAGAACAGCGACTGAGGGATCAGCTGGATCTACGGATGCCTCTCCTGGGAGAGCAACCCCTGGAGGATTGGGTGACTGAACTGGAGACACTGGTCTGGCAGGAACTGTGGGTGGATGATGCTTACTGGGCCTTACGGTGGCATGCAATCCAGCTGTACCCGTGGATAGCAGACGGCGAACCCCCAGAGGGATACAACTACGATGGACCTGGTCTCCTATGGGATTATTTAGGAGATCCCTTCGGGTTTTGGGACCTAGACTTCAGATACCCATACCTTTCTCGCTTCTGGGTCATCCAAGAGGAATGGGAAGGTTGCTTGAACCTGGCAGGGATAACCGAGCTGCAGTCGGATCTGTACTATCTGGCTAACCTAGAGTGGGAGATCGAACAGAGCTATGCATGCCTCCTCCATAGCATAGAACCATCTGGCTCAAGAGTAATTCTGCTTATGGACGCAGCACCCCAGGGAGAAAAGTGCTCCATCCTTCCTCCCCAGAGGCAGTATGAGGTCCAGGGAGGGAAGCGCTCCATCCTTCCTCCCCATTAGCAGTGTGAGGTCCAGGGAGGGAAGCGCCCTGTCCTTCCTCCCCAGTGGCAGTGTGAGGTCCAGGGAGGGAAGCCAGACACTGCCGCTGGGGAATGAGACCGACTGTCTCCATTCCCTGGTCCTCCCCAGCGGCAGTGTGAGGTCCAGGGAATGGAGACAACCGGTCTCGTTCCCCAGCGGCAGTGTGAATTATCAGGAGAGATAACCACAGGTACGGAGGGTGTCGTGGCTGGGACTGCGGTCGCCATGGGCACCCAGCAGGTAGAAGACTCCTCCGACTCCTTCTGGAGCTGAGCCCAGAGATCTGGTATGGTCGGGTCAGCAGGTAGCAGAGGAAACTATGGTGGCCTCTACCCCTTTCCCTAAGGATGCTCTGGCATCTTCCCCAGGAGCAGATGAATGTGGAGGCGCGCCAATTCAAACTGGGTTCGGGCCATTCTCCTTGTTGGTTGGCACAAGTAAAGCGATGAATGGAGTGCCCTCTGTTTGGTGGCGAAACCCCCCTTGTCCCTGGGCGTTGATTGGTGCAAATTAGTTTCACGCCTTTCAGCGGATTGGTGCAATCGGGATTCGCGCCCTTTCCCCTGATTGGGCGGCGAAACCCCCTCCACCCAGAGCGCTTTATTTGCGCCAACCAAGCGTTCTCCTGGGTAGTCACGAGCCTTGCCTTGTAGCGCCCAGGTAGGGGACAGGGCAAGTGATTACAGCTCCTTTAGGAGCAGGTAGAGTGGTCCCCGACAAGGGGACTGAAGACAGGGTGAGCAGGCTGGTTTGGCATCCGAATGCTGCCCCCCATTGGCGTAAGGCTATACGAACCGGCAGCCACCCAGGGGCAGCACACGCCACTTGTTACCATGCGGTCTGCGGTTTCACACCTCGTTAGCAAGGTGTGAACATTCTAACCACACATTCTAATTGGAATAGCAGGGTGGTCCGGCGCACGGTGTACCGTGCGTCGGAGCGCCCCCATGTGGCTGAAAAGTGAAATACACCATGCATTGCCAAATACAAAGGGAAACACACATTTAACAAGGGAAATGTCCCATCACAGTAATATTTTTACATAATTAAGTAATTTTATTGATTGCAATATGAGGGACCTGCCTGACTACCCTGGCAGAAAGTCCTGAGAATTTAATTTGCTAGCACTGTATTTAACCCTGTAACTTTTCATGACACCCTGAAACCTGTACATGGGGGTTAGATATGTGCAATTTGTTTCGATCTGAATATGAATTCGGGCAATTCGGACATTCGGGTACTTCCGAATGTCCGAATAGCCGAAGTGCCGAGGTCCCGAAGTTACGAAATTACCGAAGTTCCAAAGCACAGTATTGCCTAAGTACTAATATACTTATCCAGTGGAAGAAGAAGAATGTTACACTGTATACAAGTTTAAATAAAAAGTAAACAAACGTAGCCAGGATTCAGCTGTAAGCATTTGCAACACTTACAACAATCAAGTAACATACATTCATATAAAATGTAAGTTACTTAGCCTGTCAATGGAATGACAGGAATGAATAAGTAGATAACTCCCTAATTCCCATGGTATTAGGGAGCTATCTACTAAAAGGCTGAAAGACCTAAATTGGTCTTTCAGACAAATGTACTAATACTAAGTAAAGATTACTTAGTATTAGTAAATTATGCCCCTATTCGCTAAACCGTGAGTAGGGGCATGTCTAGTAAACAGTGAGCAGCCAGAGGCTGCTCACTGTAAAAAAATAAAAAATAAAAAAATAAAACATGTGCCTCCCCCTTCTAACCTGAAGGGGGGACCTATTGCCCCCCGGCCTGGCCCCCACCCCTGAACGGCGTGTAGGGGCCCTAAATCATAATAAGGGGGGAACTTTATGTCCTCCACCCTGGCCCCCACCCCTGAGTGGTGGGGGCCCTAAATAAAAAAGTGCCGAAGTGCCCCCCTCCATGGGTGAAATTGATTTTTTTTTTTTTGTGGTGCTCGTTTTTTGTTTTTTTACGTGCGTCGTTATTATGGCTTTTTATTTGGCCTTTTTTGGGGCTGAAAAAAGAAGATTTTAGAAGAAAGAAAACATCAAAGGTAATTTTTTTTTTTTTTACTGGTACTTAGTTAAATGGTCCCCCCTTATTTTTAGGGTGAGGGGGGTAGGTTAATTTTTTTTGGGGGGAAGGGGGTAACTAGGGATTTTAGGGACCCCTAGTCATCTGGGGAGGGGGGGTTAAAATTTTTTATTTAGAGCCCCACCCGCCACTGGATGGGGGCCAGGGGGGAGGAAATTAGGTCCCCGCCCGCCAGCTGGTAATCCCGAGGAAATACCGACAGGAGTTATTGCGAGTGGACATGGCGTCCCTTTAGCCGGGCACCTAGGGATATGCCAGACGTTACATCGGATAACCCAGAACTTTTCTGGCCTGGGGTATCCAACGACGTCTGGGCATATTGCCAAACGTGCGAAGCATGCCAAAGGGTGGGTAAAAGGGGAGACCACCAGAAAACTAAACTGGTCCCCCTACCCATAATAGAGGAACCCTTCACAAGAGTAGCAGTAGACCTTATAGGACCCTAGCTCGGCCGAGCCGCTCCGGTAAGAGATACATCCTTACCGTAGTAGATCATGTCACCCGCTACCTGGAGGCCGTAGCCCTTTCTAATATTCAGGCTGAGACCGTGGCTGATGCTTTGGTCAAGATATTTTCTCGAGTGGGATTTCCCCAAGAGATTCTATCCGACCAGGGTACGCAGTTCACTGCCGAGGTGACCCAGCAACCATGGTCTAAACCCCCTGACCAGCTCCCCCTGACCAGCTCCCCGTGGGACTCTGAAGCAGATGCTGAAGACATTCATGGGAGCCTACAAGGACTGGAAGTGATTCCTGCCGCATCTCCTCTTTGCATACCGGGAGGTGCCCCAGGAATCCACCGGGTTCTCACCCTTTGAATTGTTATATGGGAGACGAGGACAATAGAGTTGGTCCAGTTAGGGGATCAGCTGGAGCCCCAAGAGAGGGCTCAAGCTATCCACTTACTGGAAGCCAAACAGGCCACGTTCTCCCAGGAGCCCGGGTACACCCAGCTGGCCACCCACAAGGTAGATACCCCAGGACAGGCGCCCCTAAGGCAACTTCTCTACCGCATTCCCGAAGCTGTCAGAGATGGGATGCGGAAAGGATAGATGAACTGCTAGACTGGGAGTAATAGAGCATTCGGACAGTCCTTGGGATTCACCTGTAGTCTTAGTACCGAAGCAGGATACTACAACCCGCTTTTGTGTAGATTACAGATGGCTCAACGACAAGACAGTCACGGACACCTATCCGATGCCCCGGATGGACGAGCTGCATGACCGCATCTCCACAGGGAAGTATCTGACCACGATAGACCTCTGTAAGGGATGCTGGCAGATCCCCCTCGCGGAGGATGAGGTCCCCAAGTCAGAGTTCATCACCCCATTCAGCCTATACCAATTTCGGGTTATGCCGTTCGGGGTGAAGAACGCTCCGGCCACCTTCCAACAGATGGTGGACCGCCTATTAGAGGGTCTCCAGGACTACATGTGCACACCTAGAGCACGTAGGGTCAGTGTTAGATAGTATTAAGGGGGCCGGCTTAACCTTGAAGCCGGACAAATGTCACCTTAGTAGATGCAATATTTGGGTCACCGAGTTGGGTGTGGTAAGCAATGGGCAGAGCCGGCTAAGATCGAGGCCATTGCTAATTGGCCCACTCCCCGTACCAAGACACAAGTCATGGCTTTCTTTGGGACAGCCGGCTACTACAGACGCTTCGTACCGCACTAGAGTGCCCTGGCCAAACCCTTAACTGACTTGACGAAAAAGAAGTTGCCCGACAAGTCCTGTGGTCCCCGGAGTGCGAGGTGGCTTTCCAAGCTTTAAAACATGCCCTTATTAATGCTCCTGTGTTGGTTGCCCTAGATCCTAACAAATGCTTTATCATCCACACAGATGCTTCAATGTTTGGACTGGGGGCAGTATTAAGCCAGGTTGTAGAGGACAGAGGAGAACACCCGGTAGCCTACCTGAGCTGAAAACGTTTGCCATTGAGAAGGAGTGCCTGGCATTTGTCTGGGCTCTCAAAAAGCTAACGCCCTCTCTCTATGGCCGTGCCTTCACCCTCATCACTGATCATAATCCCCTGGCCTGGCTCAACCGGGTCTCTGGAGATAATGCCCGTTTTGCTGCGCTGGAGCCTTGCCCTACAACCATATGATTTTACCACACATTACCGCCCAGGCAAGCAGAACGGGAATGCAGACGGGCTGTCCCGCCAAACCGAGTTATTAACATTGTAACAAAATCAGATTTCCTGCCAGCCCCACTGGACCAGGAAAGGTCCAACCGTGTCTGCCAGAGCAGGGAGAAGAAGGGGGGCCATTGTGACGAATTTCCCTGTATTCTCTGTCTTCATTCGACTTTTTCCTCTCCCTGCTACCTAAATGACTTGGCATCATTCATTTTTCTGTGTGTGTTCGGTAGATTATTCATTTTACCGAGACCACCCTGGGTAGAAATTAGAACGTAGAACACCATGTTGCAACACGAAACCACAAGGTAATTGAGTACTCCTAGGTGGCCGCCATTCAGCATACGAACACGTGGCGAGAACAAAGGATGGCGGCCATCTTAAACTCCTTAAACATCTTAAACTCCCGAACGAGGCCAGCAGGACCTGGTCATCGAGTGCCTGGAACTGTTTTCGGCATGGCATTCGCAAGAACACCCGGTCTTTATGGAAGTCCCGTCTGACCTATTTCTCCTTACAGTGCAAGACAGACATTCGGGAGTTTCAATCAACCGAACGAGGGGAGCATTCTTATTTAAAAAAAAAAAAAAAATTTAGATAAATATTTTATTTGGTTTTCTCAATAACACTACAAAAATATATAATTTACAGACATAAATACTCAAACAGAAGATGATTATAACATATCATCCAGTGTTACATATAAGACATAAAAACACACAAACACAATCAAAACAGCGTGTTTATGGGTTATAGCTTTTACCCTAACCAGGAGTTATTATCCTTATGTCAAAAATTCATTATTTGTTGATATGTGTCAATCATTTGACTGATAAAGGTCTTTCAAGGATCTTAATCCATTTATCCCAAATTTTATATTTCTCCGTACTAATACAGATATTAGAAGATATTCCCCTTTCCATCTTACATTGATGAATAATGGCTTCTTTACATTGTTGCCATGAATCTATTATCATCTTTTTCCAATTCCTGGCAATAGACAATTTAATAGCCATCAATGCGTGGATTAAGAAATATTTATCATCTTTCGCTAGTTGTGGTAATTTTAGATGAAGCAGTACCATTTCTGGTGCCCAATTTTTTTAAATAAGTCCAGAATTTAACCTGTGGTTTTAAAATTATGTTGTCTGTTTGACATGGCTTATGTTTATTACGGGCAAGGATTCTTATGGGCCACAACAATTTTTTTTTATTTTTTTTTTGCAGTTTGTAAGATATTTTTTTTTTTTGAAACTTGAAGTTTTATTAAATTTCAACATGTCATATTGGTAGGGGGGTAGGGTACAGAAGAGAAGGGAGGTGGGGGGGTGGGGGGAATTCGACACACAGTTACATTACAGGTTCGTATTACATTCCCGGCATAACTTTACAAACCATTTTGGTAGGCATATATTAGTGGTTCAGGGTCATACTTGGTGTTAGTCCCCAGTGGGCTGAGGATTATAATACATTCACACATCCATTGACTGTGACCATTCCTAGCATTTTCGACAACCAACCTCAGTGTTTCCTGCAGTCATCCTGTATATCCCTCATGTCTTATCCTGTCTCTACCTAATGCCCCTTCCTGCCCAGTTTTCCTACTTTGCGGCTTTTCCGAATAAGTCCACCAAGTGGGCTATGTGCGTACTGTCCCCCATGTCTGCGAACGTCTCATATGGGGGTCTCTATGCTATCTTAGTGGTGTTGTGGCACCAGGGGGCCCATAGTATCTTGCTTCCAGGAGCTCCACATCTCCCATGCTCCCCCGCAACGCTGTGGTCCCGTGCGTGCGGTAGAATATTGTGTTTCATAAATTAGTTGTTTATCTATGTCTTGTATAATATGGGAGACGCTTGGGGGTGTGGTAGATTTCCAGGATCTCGCTATTACCCTCTGTGCTGTCAGTAGTATATGATATATTAATTTCTTTATCGCCACAGGCAAGTCAGGGGGAATGTCCAATAGGAGAAATGTCAAGGGCTCTAAGGTAATATCGGTTTTAGTAGTGTGGGTTATAAGTTGTCGTACTTCTTTCCAGTACCTCTCCAGTTTAGGGCATTTCCACCAAATATGTAGGACTGAGCCCAGGTCTCCCGCACATCTCCAGCAAGTCGGGAGCGTGTGGGGGTACAGCCTGTGCAGGCGGGTTGGCACCATATACCACCTATAGATTGTTTTTTGGTGTTGTTCAATAAGAGGGGCCGATTTCACCAATTTCCTCACAGATGTTACTATGTGTTTCCATTTGTGCTCTGGTATAGTAACGTTCAGGTCCGCTGACCAGTGCTGTGCCTGGGTAGAGCTATGAAACGGCTGGTATGATTGGATACTTTTGTAGCATTCAAATAGCGGTTTAAATTTAGGTGGGGGTATCCCTGTAATCCCTATTTTTTCCCAGGTCGAGAGTTCTCCACACCCGTCTTGTCTCTGTGTCTGTTCTTTGTTGTGCCTGTGTAAAAAGGATTGTAGTTGGATGTGTGAATAGTGGGACGTGGGTGGTATTTTGTATAGGCGGCATAGTTCTGAAAAGGGCAACAGTTTGCCCGCTTTGTATATGTGTGCCAGGTGAGTGGCTCCCCTTTCTTTCCATGGTGCTGCGTGGAACGTGGGGATACAATAAGTTAGTGCCTCGGTAGGGGTTGCTAGAGATAGTGGACAGTGTGATTCAAAGCCCGGTCTGTATAGGTCCCAGGTACTTAGTGCTAAGCTAAGTTGTGTGGGCATGGTCGGGGTAGTTGGTCTAGTGGTTTTCCGTAGCCACATGAGGTTAGGGACTCGAAGGGGGGCTATAGCTTGATTTTCCATTCGTACCCATTGAGGTTGGCCCTTCGTGGTAAGGTGTGCTAGCAGCGATGTCAAGATCGCAGCTTGGTGATATGTTTTAACATGTGGGAACGCCATCCCGCCTTTGCTCGCGAGGGCCATTAATATTTTTTGAGAGATTCTCGCCCGTCCCGTGCCCCAGGTGAATTGTAACATCTTAGCTTGTATATTTTTGAAATATGCATTCGGTGCTCTCCATGGGAGGTTTCTAAATAAGTATTGGAGTTTTGGCAATATGGTCATTTTAAGTGCTATTATGCGCTCCGCCCAAGATAAGAAAATGTGTCCCCAGCCCTTCAGGATTTCAGAACATTCTTTCCAGACCCCATTATAGTTAGAAGGAAACATATCATTCGGATTTTTAGTAAATGTTAGGCCCAGGTATTTTATATTTCCAGTTCTCCATTCAAATGGGAATTCTCTTCGCAGTCGTGTCAAGACTTGTGAGTCCAGGCGGAGACCTAATGCTTGTGTTTTTGTGGCATTGAGAGAGTAATAGGACATCGCCCCGTACTCTGTGATGAGCTTCATTATATTAGGTAGGGATTTGTCAGGGTTTGTGACATATAGCAAGATGTCGTCCGCAAATGCGCTAATTTTTATTGTCCGCCCATGCCAATCTACCCCATCTATTGCTTGGTGAATTCGAATCGCTGCAAGTAACGGCTCTAAAGCTAACACGTAGAGCAGGGGTGACAAGGGACACCCCTGTCTCGTGCCGTTCATAATTTTGAAGGGTGCGGACAAAAACCCGGCCTGCAGGACCTGGGCTGAGGGGTGTGAATACAAGGCAAATATCTGGGTAATGAATTGATGCGGAAATCCAAACCTTTCTAGTACCCGGCGGAGGAAGGGCCAGCCCAGGCGGTCAAAGGCTTTCTCAGCGTCTAAGGCCAGTAGTAGACCCCCCGGGTCGGCCCCCCGCATCCTCTCCAACACCAGGGATAGCTTTCTGGTGTTGTCCGTCCCCTGTCTCCCCAACACGAACCCAGTTTGATCATCGTGAATCAGTGTTGGAAGGATTTTACTCATTCTAGTGGCTAATATTTTAGCATAGATCTTAGCATCTGAATTTAACAATGAGATGGGTCTAAAATTTTTACATTGGTCTGGGGGTTTCCCGGGTTTGGGCAAGGTTACTATTGTGGCTAGGAGCATCTCGGTGGGGAGTTGGCCCGTGTCCGTCGCCGTCCGGAACGTCCGCACCAGCCACGGGCCAAGTATGTCCGCAAAAGTTTTGTAGTACAGATTGGACAAACCATCAGCTCCCGGAGATTTTCCGGCGGGCAGCTGTTTGATGGTATCCAGAACTTCATCTACGGTGATTGGTTCCAGTAGTGCGGAGAATTGGGTCTGGTCTAGCCTCGGGAGGGGGAGCCCTGTCAAATAGGAGCGAATCGAATTGTCATCTAAGGGGGCCATGCCAGGCTGGTCCCCCAGGTTGTAGAGGCCTGCATAGTAATTTGCGATCTCTTGTGATATCTCCATGGGGTTTTGTATTTTTTTTACCCGCTACGGTGTGCAGGTGGGCTATCTTGGACGTTGCCAGTCTCGCCTTTAGGCGGTTGGCTAGATATTTTGTGGCTTTTCCGCTATGATGATAGGATGTTGCCCTCAACCTTTGTAAAAAATAGGCGGTTTTTGCTGCGTTCAGTTCTGTTAATTGACTTGTTAAGGTTTGCACCTGTTTGGCCAGAGCCGGAGATGGGTTTAATTTGTTTTGGGTCATCGCTACCGCCAGTAGCTTCTGGCATTCTAGTTGGGTTTTTTGCCTACTCTTCTTGAGATATGAGGAGCGTCTAATAAAGAGACCCCGCGCCACAGCTTTGTGTGCGAGCCAAACGGTTTGGTCGGGTACGTCTCCCCCAGAGTTTGCCTGGAAATATTCTTCTAGGTCTGTCTTCACCTGTTGTAGGAATGTGCTGTCGCTTAACAGCGACTCATTTAACCGCCAAGTCCCCCTCCCCTTAAATTGGAAGGAGTCGAATAGCTCTAGGTATACAGGACTATGGTCCGACCAGGTTATATCACCAATACTGCAGATCGAAACTTGTGCTAGTGTTTGTTGGTCTACATAGAAAGTGTCAATCCGGGTGTAAGTGTTATGTACTCTCGAGTGGAACGTGTAGTCCCTCTCCCCAGTGTGGAGAACTCTCCAGCTATCATATTAGTTGTGTAGTGTAAGTTTTGCGTTCAACGTTTTGCATGTGGATACCATTTGTCTTCTCCTCGCACCCTGGGGTAATGCTGTTGTATCTTCCTCAAGAGACGTAATAAAATTAAAGTCTCCACAAAGGATTAATCCCCCTAGCTTGTGTTGTTCAATTTTCTGCATAAGGCGATGGAGAAATACCTCTGCACCTGTGTTAGGGAAGTATGTCGAGACCAGGGTATACTGAGCGTTATTGAAGAGGCCTGTCAAAATGATAAACCTACCCTGTGGGTCTACCAGTTTTCCCTGCTCTATAAATGCCACATCTTTGTGGATTAGAATGGACGTCCCTTTGGTCTTGTTCGTCGAGACCGCATGGTATTGGGATGGAAAGTGTTTAGTAAATAGTTCGGGGGTCTTAGTGTTTTTTTAAATGTGTCTCCTGGATACAGGCAATATCAATTCTTTTCGTCTTAAGCTCTTGTAGCAAGAGGCGTCTTTTACCTGGGGTGTTCAACCCCTTTACATTATAAGTCAAAATTTTCATAGTGGGTCAATGGTGTCTCTGGAAAACAATATGCTAAGTCGTGTCCCATCCGTGTGGAATAGTGACCTGGGGTTTTGGTTGTATGCCCATTGCCGGTAATGCTTGTGGGAATGCTCCAGTTGGAGGTGTACCATGTTTTTTGTATGTCGTGGGGTGGTGCGGGAGAGGTAAGGGTGGGTCAAAACAGTCCATGGGTGATGTACCCAGTAGGGCTCCCATAACCGGGGCCTCGGTCCGCGATCTAGCCAGTAGATGCGGGTGGTGGGGGGGGTGCAGGTGAATCCGTCTAACATGTCGGTCATTCACCTAGAGACCTTAGAGCAGTGTCCAGTTAAATGCATGCAAACTAGTTAAATGATTAATACCGTAACATACATTGAAATAACCAATACAGTTCAATGACGCCTGTGGCATAGCCTCTATGGGCATTTGCAGCTAAGGCGTCTGTGGCTAACCACATCTTGTGCACAGTCTATTCCTCTATACCGTACAGATTGCGTATTAGGCAGAGTCAGATTCTAACCAGCTGTATGTGCTGCTGACTTAATGAGTCTAGAGCCTGTAGGGCCCATGTTAAGTAGTATGTGTACTGCATTCTAAGACGAAAATGTCTTTTGGCTTTATAGAATATCCTATACCAGTCCGCGTTTGTTGGGCGTAGAGGTGTGTGTGTTATATAGTTACGTATATCACTGGTGTTTCATTGGGTTGACCATTCCGGCTGCAATCTTGGGACCTTTGCCGACTTTGTGGGTTCAGTGGGTGGGAGAGGCAGTCCCCAATCCCTCAGCTTGGGTCACGTCTGTAACCATGTGGGTCGCATCTTGGTGGGAAATCAGGAGTTTAGCTGGATAGCCCCAATGATAGTCCACGCTCTGCTCTCTGAGGATTGTGGTGATGGGCGACAATGTCTTCCTGAAGTGTAAGGTTTCGGCCGACAGATCTGCAAAGATTTTAACAGATTTGTAGTTGTCAGGCATGTTTGTGTTTCTGCTGGCTCTCATAATTTTTTCTTTGGCGTGGAAGAAATGAATCCGTGCCACAACATCTCTCGCTGCCGTAGGTGGTAGGTGTTTAGGTCTGCGCAGTCTATGCGCTCTGTCGATAATCAATTGGTCAGGATGAATTTCTGGGGCGAGAGCTTGAAATAGGTTAGATAGATAGTTTTGGAGGTCAGCATTTTGTATAGATTCTGGAATTCCACGGAACCGGAGGTTGTTCCTCCTTGCTCTGTCTTCCATGTCAGCTAATTTTATTCTGTGTGCCTCCAAAGTATTATCCAGCTCTTGGATCTTATCTGCCAGGCTATTATGGGCCACAGCATGCTCGTCCAGTTTTGCTTCTATCTGTGTGGTGCGATTACCTATCTCCTGTATCTCCCTGTGTAGTTCAGTTTTCAGCTCCTGAAGCTGTTTTTTCATGTTTTTCTGGATGGTGTTTGTAACTTCCTCCATTATCGCTCGGATGCCCCCCATAGTCAGGGGTTGTTCCTCTGGTGTGCGAGAGGGGGAATTTTCCCGCCTCTCCTGGTCGCCGCCATCTTGTGCAGGCTCCTGGCCCTCTCTCAGCTTGGAGGCTGCGGTTTTAGTTAGAAAGAACGCGGCTCGATCGGACTTCTCCGCTTTACTTTTCTGCCTCTGAGACATGTCGCCCACCTCCTCCGGTCGATGTAAGTGTTTTATGCTCGGTGTACCGCTTGGTTATGGCTCTTTTCGGTCTCCGTTTGCCGGAGCTGTTCTTACATGCGTCCGTTCATCTCCGGCTGCAGGCCACGCCCCCCGGGCCACAACAATTTAACCATGTTATGTGGTTCCAAAATATCTTCTCCCTCTAATTCGTGCCAATCTTGTGGGTGTGTATCCTGATTAATTGTAGCTACTGTATGCAGCAGCTGGGCAGCTTGGTGACAAAAAAAATATTAGGAAATCCTGTTCCCCCTTGTTTATATTTCAGATACATAAGGTCTTGTCCTATTCTGGGCTTCTTGTTAAGCCAAATATAATTTCTAAAGATCTTTTTGACATTTGTTAGCCAGTGGGGTTGTATCGGCATCGGAATCATCCTTAATAAATTAATAATCTTAGATAAGATATAAGCCCTTATGGAATTAACTCTTCCCCAACAGGATATCTCAAGTTTACTCCATTGTTTAACCCCTTAAGGACACGACATGTGTGACATGTAAGGATTCCCTTTTATTCCACAAGTTTGGTCCTTAAGGAGATGAGTAGTTTTTTTATTTTTTATTAAAGGGATTAGATTAGCTCTCATAATGTTTACAGGGTCATATACTATATTTATCCCCAAATATACAAAGTTTTTCTTCTCCCATTTAAAAGCATATTGTTTATTTAAGAAATTATATTCAGCCATATCCATATATAGAGGCAATACCACTGTTTTTTGAATGTTTTTTTTTTTTTTTGAAAGTTTATAATTTGTAAGAAAACTAAACTGATTTTTTTCTTCCATTACTGCTGGAACCGAGTGAGCTGGATTCAATAGTGTTAACAAAATATCATCAGCATACTGACTTATCTTTAACTCTCTTACGAAAACCTGTTATATTAACATTCGAACGTATGTCATGAGCCAGTGGTTCCGCCACTATGATGTAAAGAAGTGGGGAAAGCAGACCTGATTCCCCCTTCCACTATTCTGCCCGATGGAGGGGAATAGAGGGCCATAATTGCCGAAAGAATCTGTCCCGGGAAGCCAAAGGCCTCTAAAGTTGATTTTATATAATTCCAATTAACCCAATCAAAAGCTTTCTCTCCATCGAGCGCCATAGTGAGAAAGGGGGTTTTTGTGGCATGTACCTTAGCATAAATGTTTATAATTTTCCTAATATGATTAGACTATGTTCTCCCGGGGACAAATCCTACTTGATCTTCTGATATTAAACTCGAGATTATACTTTTAATTCTTTTAGATATAATTGATGCATACATTTTATAATCGTTATTTAATAAAGCTATCGGCCTATAGTTGGCAATTTTGTTTTGGTTTAAGTATAGGAGCAATATTGGCTGCTAACATCTCATTTGGCAGTTTTCCCGTAGAGATAGCCGTATTATAGCATTCCCTTAAACCCTGAACGAGCCTATCTTTGTAGATTTTATTTTTTTTAAATCCACAAACCCATCTGGGCCAGACGCTTTGGTTTTTTTCATTGCATCAATAGCCTCTATAATTTCTTGAGCTGAAATGTCTTCATTCAGTTTGTTTAGTTGGGAGTTAGTTAATTTGGGCAGCTGCTTATCTAAAAAATATTTTTATAGATCTTCTTGAGTTGCTGTTACTGGTAGGTTATATAAATCATAATAATATTCTTTAAAGGCCGCCCCAATTTTGACTGGATCAATTATTACATCATTGCCTTGTTTTATTTTATTTATTAATTTGGCCTTTTGATGTGCTTTAACTCTGTTAGTAAGAAGTTTATCAGCTTTATTTCCCCGTAATAGAAATTGGTTTTCATATATTGTAAATTCCTATTAGCTTTAGCTATTAAAATATCATTAATTTTACTTTCAATTATCCTTATTTGAGTTGCTCGGGCTCTCATAGGAGAGGTTATATTTTTTTATTGCATTCGCTTAATTCAATATATAACTCTGAAAGAGATTTCCCTTTACTTATTTTTTCGTGCGCAGCCATACTAATTAAGTGACCTCTTATAACACTTTTGAACGCACACCATTTTATCATAGGTGATACTCTATCGTTATCTATCCAATGTGTATCTATTGCCTTAGCAATTTGTTCTTTGTTATCTTCCGGAATTAATATTTTCTTGTCCAATTTCCACTCTGGTCTTTGTCTAATAAATTTATCTTTCAGGTGCACCTTTACCATGTTATGATCAAACCAGGTGGTAGACAGTATATTAGAAGATTTTATTCTGCCCAACAAATTACGCTCTATTAAGATTAAATAAATTCTTAAATACGAACAGTGTTCTCTATCGGTAGGATGGAATATCCTCCAACAGTCTGAGAGAGCTGCATTTTGTATAACATTACTCAATTTCTTAGCTTGATTAAAGACATTCTTAGAGGGTGTGACGAGAGCAATCTCGCCACATTGCATTGGAGAAGCCTGGTTGCTCGCCTGCTGCCTTTGGACTATGGCCCCCTGTTAAAAGACATTTTTTACCTGCAGAAAAGCTTAATTCGTGCTTTTCTGCCTGGGGTTCGGTAGATTCAATCTACCGAACAACCGTACGAATGACTGGACCACCTGGGAGCTGGAGTGTGCCGGCAGTTAACCTCCCTGAAGCTGCGGTTAACCGCAGCTTAATTGACGAATGCTGGGTGGCCGCCATTTGTATCACGAACACGAGGTTGCGGCCATTTTAAACATACGAATGCACAGCGGTGTTTGTCTATATTTTCATGGAACTAAAATCGGACACAGTTTTGCGCGAACACCGCTGAAGCCGCCGACCTCCCGTCTTGTTCGGTGAAAGTGCACGAACGGCCCGGTGTTCGGTAGTTTTGTTTGAATGTGTTATACCCCAGATAGGAATCCCATGGAGCCCATTCGTATGAAACTGACTGTAAAGATTTTGGCTCCATGGCGATTAAACTGTATTCGTGTGGTCTGAGCGCCATTCACTTAATAATGTGCACTCAGACCTGAGCTATCTGGGGATATGTTAAATGTATAGCTTTAATGTAATGTGTCTTACCTGGTGTATTTTAACAGTAATGCTTGTTTTAGTATCCCCACGTGCATAATGGCGATTTGCCTTTGTCTTGGGATATAATTGAATTACTTCTCAATTATCTCCCAGGGCAGAGGGGAGGAAGCCAGGATGCATTGTGGGAATATACTGTGACTGTGTGTCCTATTTGTCTGCTTGTCTGTCCCTTGTCACAGTCTCCCATTTGGTCCCCTAGGGGAGTGTCCACCAGGTGGGAGACCTGCATAAATACTGGGCAGGTAGCCCTCATTAAACAGACCACTGCTTGACCCTCAACACGGAGCCTTGTCTCGTCTTTGGGGGGATTTACTGAATGCTGATAGAGACTGATTGCTAGGAGTGTAAGCTGCTTGGATGCTTTTCCTATTCGTCTGGTAGCAGCAATTCGTATGGTTCCTGTTCATCTGTTTGGAGTGCTATATTGGATGCCGTTCGGGAGTTTGGAGCATTCACTTATTGGCGGTTCGTGTGTTTGGTGTTCTGCAGTAGCTGTGCCTGCATCTCTGGAAAGGGGGCCGATCGCCTAAACATTTTTTCCCCTTTTGTGCAAAACAGTCCGTTACAGAGGGTATTTTACCTTTTTCAGACCTCTTATCTAATTTGGTGTCAGTTACGGAATTAAAGTCGCCTAGAACTGAGAGCTCCTTGCTTGACTTTTATTCTACTTTCGTTAAGACTTTTTGTATGAACTGTATCTGTGAAGAGTTCGGTGCATAAATATTGACTATTGTATATAATTCTTCATCGATACAACAAATTAAAATAATCCATCTGCCCATTTTGTCTATACTTTGATATTTTATGGAGACGTTTACTTTAGCTGAAAATAAAATCGCTACTCCTCTTTTCTTTTTCTCTTTAAATGATGAACAAACAGAGGAAAACCTAAGAATCTGAATTTCCCTTCATCTGCTTGTCGCCAATGCGTCTCTTGTAGACACACTATATGGGCGTTTTCTGTTTTCATACGGTCAATTACTATTTTCCTTTTTTGTGGTGAATTAACACCTCGTACATTGATAGTCACAATATTTACCATTTATCGAAAATGTTTAACCTAGTATACTAGGCATCCTCCAATCTATGGCTCGTGTCATTTAACTAGTAATAAGGCCTAGATATCTTCTATTCACTTTCAAGTATTTACACATAAATATCAATTTTCCTGAATACATCTCTATATCCTTTACCCTCCACAAAAGTCGACGTTTCAATATAAGACTAACATTTGACATTATAACAAATTCAGACATACTAACAAATACAAAAAAACAACCCTTTAAGGAAGTCTGGATGGTTTTGGTGAATATCCCCTTTCACCAAAACCCTCCACCTGGATCCCTGCTAGGATCAATTGTATGATGCTGAAAAACTCGATGAAAGAGAGAGAAATTATTTCATTAATATCTAAAAAAAAAAAAAAGAAAAGTCTATTCCCCTTCGTTTATCTTTACTATTCTTCTCTATTAATAGGATTCCAGATTTAAATCGTATATTTCTTCAAGTTTAACTTTTTGTGGCCCTGTTTTAAGAGTGCATTCTTTTGTGCCTAGTTCCCATTTATTACTGTAGCTCTTTAATTAAATTAAATCATAACCGTGAATTTTAATAATTTTATCCTTTGTGCTACATTTGTCAATTCCTAATCCTACTAATTTCAATTGTATTCACGCGTTAGTTATCTTTTTTAATCTATATCTCGTGCATGATATTTGTGAATTCTGTTCTTTTTATATTCTTACTCTTTCTTAACCAAACTTTATAATTTAAATATAGTGCAAGATTAATGCTTGACTCCTAGCATATAATAATAAATCGTGGTCATGCATTCTGAGGTCTATTTTACATACATATATATATATATATATATATATATAGATATTATTCAAATAGTGACAGCAAAGTTCATATCTTTAAACCATTTTTCTATTGCCGATACATCAGAAAATTAATATGTTTTTGCCTCATAAGAAACCACTATTTTGCTTGGATATCTCCACGAATATTGAATATTATTTTGCCTTAATATCTTTGTGTATGCTGAAAACGGTTTTCTTTTCGCCCTAGTGTGGTATGATATGTCTGGGAAAATGGCAATATCTTTATATGGTTCTTTTAATCTGGTCATTCTTGCTGTTCTTAATAATTGTTCTTTAATCTTATATGAGGCGCAACATATAAGTACATCTCTTGGGGCACCTTGTGCCACTGTATCCAGTTACATGATTCTATGGCACCGCTCCAGAGCCTGTAAGGGGTTTATCAATTGAATGTCTAATTGTCGAAAAAGATCCAAAATGTAATCTTGCAGTTTTTCATTAGTGACTGACTCTGGAATTCCTCTAAATCTTCTAGGTCAGCGATTTTTTTTTTTTTTTTATTCCAAATCTGCTATTCTTTTCTTAGCATTTTCTTGACGATCTTCAGCTATAGCTTGCTGATATTCTAAAGATTCTATTTTTTCTTCATTTATTTTTACTGTCTTCTCTATCAATAGAATTTCGGATTTAAATTCCATAAAGCCCGTCTGTATTTCATTTTTGATCTTGTCAAATTGACGTTCAAAAGCTGTGTCTAAATAATCATGTATTTCTTCGAGATTAACCTCTTTTTGGCCCTGTTTTGAGAGTGCATTCTGTGGTGACATTGTTTATGTTTCTTTAACTGTTTGGAATGAGATGTCTGTTTCGTTTTGTTGCTCTGACTCTTGTTTCTGTTGTTGCGACAGAGTGGAGGCAGATAATCTTTTTTCTGGCTTAATTTCCGGCTTCCTTTCTTTCTCTCTCTTCGAGAGTTGTTTACCCTCTTGAACCTTTTTTGTTGCCATGAGGAATAATAAAATAAAGTTCTTTTATTTTCCCCTTCTCCTTTCCCTTGTCAGGGATCTTCCCGCTGTATAAATCTTTAAAGCTTCTTCAAATGCTGTAATTTACAGCTGTTGATATTATGGTTAATTGTTTGGAATTAAGACTAGTTTTTATTCAAATTCAAATGCCCTGATTACTTCAGGTATGCTTGATCTTGATTTTATTATTTTTAGTATGTTGATATACTGAGCTTTTTTTTTTTTTTAAGAGCCAAGGAAGTTTATTTTACTGAACCAGACTTTGGCAAAATATATTTTTAGAATTATTGGCCATCAAACTGTTATAGAAGTAGAAATAGCGTACCTGGAGGCTGATCAATAGATTAAGTGACATAATTTGGCACCTAATTAGGGATTAACGATATATTAAAGCTGTTTTTGCAACAACAGACAATTATCATAATTCTATATTGAAAATAGAATTGTTGGGGAACCCTTGTGCTAGAGATGGACTTTTTTTTACGTCAGAACAAATGTAACATTTTCAAAATGCAGATTACTAACAAAAAAAAAGATGCTACTCTGAAATACTTATCAAGGCAAATCAACCAAATGGATTGCTTCATATATATCACAGTATAAATCATATGTTTTGAATCTGAAGACCAATTTAACATGATGAGTAAGATCCATCTTTCACTTTTAATATTAGCAATGTGATATATACTATATGCTAAAAAGTTATCCACCAGTAAACTTTGTGAGTTTACATAGTTAAGCCACTAACATATAGTTGTAGACTATTAATGATTCGGCAATGTGTCCACCCGAATCATTTGCACTGAAATAGTTAAATATTACAATTAAATTAGAGAAAGGCTTTTCACTACCACAGTGCATAGATATGATTTATATATAAAGTGGACCTGCAAACAGCAGATTGTTTTTTCTATAAATATTTGGAAAAACTATGTATTTTTTTTGGACACACACAGAAACAAATTGTGGGATATATTGGTGTCCTCCAAAATGAGCACATTTAACAAATCTTGTAAAATGTAACAGACAACATAGGAAGCTTTATGGCATGACTGTATGTCAAAGAACAATTTGAATTGCCATCACACATCTAAGCTTGGCAAGCCTTGAATAAAACTATATTTAGACCTTTAATAGATTGAATGTTAAAATACCAGACCACCCAACTTGCAAGTGGCTGAAAAAGATTCACCCCCAGAATAATCTTTGCATTTTATTTTGTCTTAAGCTACCAATAGACAATTAAACAAAACGTTTAATTTGAGATTGCCTAAAATATATTAACACTGACCTGGTTAAACATAAAGCATATTTGCAAAGGAAAAAAAAAGCCAAAAGCCACCATAAGTACAAAAAATAAAATAGACTAAGGGTTTACTTTGTTGAGGCCATTACTTAAGTAGGGTTCAAAGAATATTGGTCCTTGTTCATTACTTCATTCAGGCTAATTGCTCCAGAGAGCTCAGATTTGCTCCCAGGTGCTAAGGAAGTTAAGGTATGTAGAGAGAATGGATAACAGACAGTTTGCTAGAATATAGGGTAAACCCTCTTGCACATTCAGAAAATACCTGGACCACTTTGTAAAGAAAAGAGAAGACCAAAGACACACATGCATTCTTTTTGGATGTTGCCACAAGATATAGGTTATTGTGCTTAATCCACATGAAATGGACTCCTCCGTGGGCAAGAATGGGTGATAGTGCCCCTTCTTCCTCTTTCTCCATTAAGATTGGCATGAAGTGCTCTACCTCTGACATATCAACATCTCCTCGGCAGTTACGGCAAATAAGAACCTTCCCTTTCAGGTCCAAAACGTAAACGGCGCTGGCCGACATCTTCCCGGTAGGCGCCCGCTTCCCTCAGCCTGCAGGTCTCCTCCACCGATCACAAGACTCGTCCTATCCCCTCAGCACCACGGCGCCACCATCCCCCCTACTCCGCACACACCGCTATACTGAGCCTTCTTATTATTCTCCTTTTTTTTTTTTTTTGGTCGTTTTACTATCATTCCTCCTTATCACTTTCTTTCTTCTTAGTGATTTTAGGCTTCAAACAATTACAGAGAGAAGTTAGTCCAGCCAAAAATTAAGGTTGTATGCCTTAATTAGTGATCTCTATGTAGGTACATCCAAATTTTATTAGGCAACACCTGACTTTTCCAAGCTCAACAATCATTTTCTCACTGTCATCTCTTTATTTCTTTATCAGGCATTTATCAGTAGCAATTCCACCATCTACTTTTATGCCCTTTTTTCTTTCTTTTCCTTTATAACCATCTGTATTCCTTCTAGTTGTTCACCTCCCCTTTACCTTCTTCCACCTTTATATCTATTTCTTTCCTTTGTACTTTGTCTCGCTATACCTTATATTATATATAGACTTCATACAATAAAGAGAGGAAAGAAAGAGAAAAGTACATTGAGCAAGTCCACATGGGACTTACCTCACGCTCTCACCGACACCGCCTCTGTTTAACTCCTTTTTTTAAGTAATCTCGGAGCAGGCAGGCTTACCACTTAGAACTCCAGCGTCTTGTGGCGTTTGTTATTCGTGCCATTTCCATGATATTAACAAGGATGTTAAGGGGATACTTGGCGAAGTGCTTAATTAGGTATATGTGCTGACATCAAACCAGCGGGTCTCCTCTGCGGGCTCTCTCCTTCAGGATATCAGCATCACCGCGCTCGTGGATGTGCGTTCCCGTACAGCGTGTACGTCCTACGTCATCGCTCCTCCCCCCCCTATTGTTGGGAGCATTATCATATAACCAGCGGCATTCTACCTACAGTGGTTTTCGTATAATTCTGTACGAACGGAGACCGGCTCTTACTACCAATTTCATGGAACTCTAAATCGGATACAACCGCATGGCGAGCCGGTCAAACTCTCACAAGATGCGACACGGAAACTACCAAACAGATTTTCGTGCAATTTGGATCGGTTACTCCCAGTATACTCAGCTATCCAGGGATGTGGTTTTTGTATCGTTATATCATGTAAAAAGTATATTTCTAAAAATGTTGAAAATTGTTAATATTTCTGGCCCGCAGATAATTGAGTTCAGTAGCCTGCTGAAACTCAATTATCTAGCCTGGCCCAGAGGAGGAGCTTCTACTGTATAAATTGAATGCCTGTTGCTTCCAGTAAATCAGTCTTGTTCCAGCATTAAGCTTTGGCTCATGTGTCGTGTTACGGTACCCTCAGCATGAAATGTACAAACCGCCGTTTAGTGAATGCTCCCCATTCGCAATAACACAGGCTGCATGTGTATCCAGTATAATCATGTGAACCGCAAGCAAGGGAACGCTGCAAACTCACGAACGGGATCCATACGGGCACTTCACTCCACGAGCTCCAGACTCACGAATCGCCAATATTAGCCGAACACACACAGAAAACACATAAAAAAAATACATAACTTTATATTTGTCGAATGCTACCCATTCGTATCACATATCCCCAGATAGCCTGGATCTGAGTGCATATTATTGGCGAATAGCACTCAGATCCCATACGCATAGTTAAATCACCATGGAGTCAAAGTCTATTACAGTTCTTCGGTATGCGATTGACTCCATGGGAAGGCTATCTGGGGTAAGTCCATTCGTGCATTTAAACCTCCCAAACAGCCGGCGTTTGCCCACTTCTGTCGATTGAGAAGGGAGGTCGGCGGCTTCAGCGGTGTTCGGCTGAAAAAGTGTCCGTTTTCAGTTCCATGAAATCAATGCTGAACACCACTGGTCTTTCGCATGGTTTAAAATGGCCGCCGCCTCGTTGTCGACATACGAACGACGACCACCCTGTATTCGGTTTTAATTGAGAAGTGTCTGTGATTAACCGCAACGTTCTAATTGGGATCAATAGGTTAACCAGCAGCACACTTCTCTTCTGGGTGGCCATCCGTTCGGCAGTTTTGTTCGGCTGAAAAGTCAATTCACGGAACAGGGGCTTACGAACGGGTAATTTTGTGAAAAAAGCAAACAGACGAATCCAGCACTCTTAGTCTATACAGATGGATCTGTCACATGTGGATTATTTGGCAATACCAGCGATCTTTATTCCTGTGGATTCTAGGCGATACTCTGCTATTGGGAAAAGGAATACTAGACAGTGATACCAGTTACTACCATCACAAACATGTTAACATTGAGTATTTCTAAACTCAGGACAAAATTTAGAAACTATTTAGCACAGGTGTTTTTTGGTGGTTGTAGATGTGTAACAGATTTTGGGGGTCAAAGTTAAAAAAAGTGTGATATGATGAAAATAATGGTATCTTTAGAAAGACCATTCAATGCCGAGAAACTGTATATAATATGTGTGGGGACAGTAAATGAGTAGGAGGAAACTTACAGCTAAACACAGACACCCCAGAAATGTAAAAACAGCCCTGGTCCTTAACGGTAAGGAAATTGAAAACACTAAGGGGTTAAAAGAAAAAAGTTTATTACTATTATTATTTTTAACCCTACTTCTTCTGCCTCACTTCTCACATTCTAAAATACTTCATTTTGCTGGTTACTGTACTGCAATTTGAGCACAAACAGCACTGACATTAACCAGACCTGAAAAACAAAAATACTGCATTAGAGGTAGACACCAAGCCAAAAAGATAGTAAATATATCACTATATGCCTGTCTTTTGTCTCCATTTGTCTATTTGTCATGCAGTAATTTAACTCGTTACATAACTTATATTGCCAATCTTTTGGATTTTTATTTCCTATCGAGAAAGCTTGGAAAGAAAGTCCATTTGCTAGGAGGTTATTGTATGTATATAGAAGCATATTAATCCCTCTGTCCTGTTCTGTTCATTATGTATCACTCAGTTTTAAATAAATTAGTGTAAGTGTGTGAAATAACATTATTATAGCCAAAGGCATACCTAGGTTTTTTTTTTTTTTTGGTAATGCTCCACTCCCATTTGTGTGTATGTGAACTTCCCTTGTATGTCTCCTATCCCCTTAACTTTTGTGTACCTTTTAACTCCTACCTATTATTTGTCTCTTAATCTCTCCTTACTACATTGTGTGACTCTTAACTCACCTTATTGTCATGTGTGTGTCTTTCCCCCCCTTACCCTTTGTAACGGACCGTTTTGCCCAAAAGGGGTTAAAAACCGTTTAGGCGATATTCCCCTTTTTCAGCTGCACAGACAGCTACTGCAAGCACCAATCTCCCGAACTGCATACACACGAACAGCTGCTAGCAGACGAACAGGAAAAGCCCCCAAGCGGCTTACACTCCTGGCAATCAGTCTCTAACAGCATACAGTAAATCCTCCCCCAATAATGAGACAACACTTCACTTTGAGGGTTAAGCAGGAACTCTCCTGTAATGGCCACACACTGGCTTTTATGCAAGTCCCCATGCAAGGGGACATCCCACAGGGTGGGACACAGTACAACCAATCGTTACAGGGGAACCGTAAAACACACCCACAATTACATCACAATCCCTCCTCTCTGTCCTGGAGATAATTGGGAAGTAATCAAATTATCTCCAAGGACAGAGGAAAAACTCCATTAACCACATGGCAGACAAAGGACAATAAAAGACATAAAATTACATACAGTTACATTAATCACATAGAACATACACATTCTACATATCCCCAGATAGCTTAGATCTGAGTGCACATTACTACGGAATGGCGCTCAGATCACATAAATACAGTTCAATGGCCATGGAGCCAGTGTCTTTGATACAGTCTTTCAGCATACGGCTGGGCTCCATGGCATAGCTATCTGGGGTAGCATGGCTTTAACAGTCTACAGAAAGGCACAAGTACGCTTTGCAGGGAAAATAAAAGGTTTTAACTGCCGGGCCATAGTCTAAAGGGAGCAGGCGAGCAACCAGGCTCCTCCAGTGGACAGTGGCGAGGCTGGTTTCGCCACATTTCTGCCCTTTACCATCCAGACTAACAGGGTATCTGACCTCCTGTCGGTCAGTGCCCTGGTTAGTCCAGCAACCCACCCACAAAACAGAATCTGCAGTATAACCCACCCACCAGAATTGGTTACTACAGCAGGGGTAGTGGGTAGTTTGTCCATGTCCAGGAGCTCCACCTCGGCTCTGGGGGGTACTAGTGTTCCGGATCAGTCGGTTGCTGAGTGGGCAGAGACCAGCGGTACTCTGCCCTGCTGCCAGCGCTACCACGGGAGTAGCCTGGTTGGAGCCCAGTTGAGGGAATGGCGTAATAGGCTCCTCACTCTGGACCTGGTACTGCTGCTGGAGGGCAAGACAGGATGTCTCCCCTTTGGATGAACATCCCTGCTGCCGGGGAACAGGACCGACCGTCCCTAGCCCCTGTGAGGCATGTGCAGAGACCATGGTCCCATCTGCACTGGTGTGGGGCTTATCATCTCCCCTTGGTGGGCTAGGCTGCCGTTGGGGAGAGGGGGTAGCAAGTTCCTCTCCCTTATGCACTTTCTGTCGCTGGGGAGAGGGAATGACAAACTCTTCTCCCTGACACTCTTTCTGCTGGTGGAGAGGGGGACCGACTGTCTCCCCTTTCAATATTTTGTCCTGCTGCTGGGGTGCGAGACCGACGGTCTCTGCTCCCTGCAGGACACCCTGACGCTGGGGAGGAAGGACGGCACCTTCAGCTCCCCGTAAGACAGACTGCCGCTGTGGAGGAAGGACGACACCTGCAGCTCCCTGTAACACACACTGCCGCTGGGGAGGAAGGACGGCACCTTCAGCTCCCTGGGACACACACTGCCGCTGGGCACTCTCCCAATCTGCCAACTTATGTGCCCGCCCTGCTCTGACCTGCAGGTACTCTTGTACATGTCTCCTCACAAGCTGCACGCATCTCTCCGGGGGGTTGGGTCCAAAGAAAGCCACCCGCGTGGTAAATTCTCTGTCATACTGCTCCTGAGTGTAGCTGGGTGCCATGCTTGCCCTGCTGCCCTCCATTTGTAAGTCCAGGGGATGGTGTTACCTTGTAGCTGTCCTTCTGGGCTGTGGGAATGATCCCGTCGCTTGCCACCAATTGTAACGGACCGTTTTGCCCAAAAGGGGTTAAAAACCGTTTAGGCGATATTCCCCTTTTTCAGCTGCACAGACAGCTACTGCAAGCACCAATCTCCCGAACTGCATACACACGAACAGCTGCTAGCAGAAGAATAGGAAAAGCCCCCAAGCGGCTTACACTCCTGGCAATCAGTCTCAATCAGAGGCAAAACTCCATTAACCACATGGCAGACAAAGGACAATAAAAGACATAAAATTACATACAGTTACATTCATCACATAGAACATACACATTCTACATATCCCCAGATAGCTTAGATCTGAGTGCACATTACTACGGAATGGCGCTCAGATCACATAAATACAGTTCAATGGCCATGGAGCCAAAGTCTTTGATACAGTCTTTCAGCATACGGCTGGGCTCCATGGCATAGCTATCTGGGGTAGCATGGCTTTAACAGTCTACAGAAAGGCACAAATACGCTTTGCAGGGAAAATAAAAGGTTTTAACTGCCGGGCCATAGTCTAAAGGGAGCAGGCGAGCAACCAGGCTCCTCCAGTGGACAGTGGCGAGGCTGGTTTCGCCACACCCTTGGTTTGTTTCTTAGCCTCTCCTATCATTTGTGTGTCTATTAACCCTCCGCCCAACTACTTGAGTGGCTTGTGACATTCTCTTCTTATCCCCTGGAGAGCTCCTTTATTCCTTTATGGGGGAGCTCTTTATCCCTAATGTGTCAATTCGCCCTCTTGTAGATCTTTGAACCCCCTTACCTCTCGCATGTCTGTTATACTCTGTCCAAAAGGGACAGTCATTGGCAATGAATCCAGAGCAAGGCTATAATTACTGAGTGAAATGAATTGGCCTGTTTTTTAAATTTTTTTATTATTTGTGGAGCATTGCATATCTGATAAAACTAGAACTAAAGTATTGTCACATACGAAATAGAGGGGGCCAAGTTCCTATGCATGCATTTTAAAAGTGTCTTCGCTGGGTAAGTTCAAAATGAATCCAGCATAATCACTAACCACTCAAAATACATAGCATATGAATGAAAAATTATTAGTAAATATAATTTACTTACACCTACATGATGAACAAAATAGAAGTAGCCAGAGGTAGATCTCCATATGTCGTTAAAAAGCATCATTGGATTTTTAATTCAGCAACACATGTAACTACTTTTAGGCCACTGCTGCAATGTATCAAATGAGCCAAACAAATAAATGTTCTGCCCAAAAACACACTATATCTATTTGCTATTACTATTTATCATCTTTACTGAATCGTAAGTTGAAGTTCATGACTGATTGAGAAAATGATTTTCAATTACAAATAGAAATATCAGAAGGGTACAAAATAAAAGATGCTCTCAAAAGTATGAAAAAACAGTTGTATATAGATGGTACTTAGTTCCTATTTACATCAGACTTATGCTGGAAACAATGTGGGGAAATTAGTAATATGTATCATATTTGGTGGACTTTTATTAAATTAAAATCATTCTGGGATTTTATCCTCTCATTAATACGAGATTGTCCCCACAATCACAAAATTGTCACCAAAATTACGCTTATTCAAATTGCTTCCAAATTTCTTAAACAAGGCCAAAAAATTAGTTATATCTCATATTTTAATAGCTGCTAAATCCTTGATACCCAGATATTGGAAAAAGGTTGCATTACCATCTAGAGGAGAAGTTATAAATTTTATCAGAGAAAACAAAGATTATGAATTTGCTTTAAGACCTCCTTCCATATTTTTAGCAAATGTGAGTTATATATGGAACATGTGATATTAAAAAATAAACAAATAATATAGAGAGGTGGATTTATTTTCTCGGCATGGATACTTTAAATTTTTATTTATTTATTTATTATTATTTTTTTTTCTTCTTGATGTTTAACATATTTTTGTTGTCATGTCCCTGAGCAGGTCAGAGAGGACACTATTGCCAGGATTATTGGTTGAAAACTTGTCTTTTTAGACATAACAATTTACATGAAATAAAGAATTAAGGCAATATGCCACAAACAGGATACGTTGAGAGTAAAACAGAATAAAGGCAATATGCCACAAACAGGATGTCTTGAGAGTAAATTAATAAAGTCTTTTATATACAAGTAGCTTTGAAGTTATTCCCAAAAAGATTAATAGTTTGTGGAATGTCACACTGCAGCCAGGTTCAGGATGATACAGGGTTGAAATAGTTAAAGCTGGTAAGTACTTTCAGTATAATATAGTACAGGTTGCTTACAGGATTAGGCAGAGTAGCAGTAATTGAGACAGGTAAGTACTTCCAGAATAATGTAATACATGTTGCTTACAGGATCATGCAGTGTTGCAGCAGTTGAAGCAGTTAAGGATCTTCAATATGGTAGATCAAGTAGGTAAGTCTCTTAAGATTGAAATAATTCAGATAAATACAGGATGTTTTCAGGTGCCAGGATCAGAAGTTCTATGTCAGAACACTGACTTCAATGTCAAGACACTGTTGTGTGCAGGGTGTAGACTTATGAAGCCTCCTCATTATTCAATATAGGTGAGGATGTTAAAGTGAGTGAAGAGATTAGTGAAGAGATTAGTGGCTAGGGAGGCCACTAGAGGTGAAGATCATGAAGTTAACTTAAAGGGCCAGTAATAAATGAGAAAAGCCTTGCTTGTCAGATTAAAGGACCACTATAGTGCCAGGAAAACATACTCGTTTTCCTGGCACTATAGTGCCCTGAGGGTGCCCCCACCCTCAGGGACCCCCTCCCGCCCGGCTCTGGAAGGGGGAAAGGGGTAAAAACTTACCTTTTTCCAGCGCTGGGCGGAGAGCTCTCCTCCTCCTCTCCGCCTCCGTTAAGCCCCGCCGGCTGAATGCGCACGCGCGGCAAGAGCTGCGCGCGCATTCAGCCTGTCGCATAGGAAAGCATTTACAATGCTTTCCTATGGACGCTTGCGTGCTCTCACTGTAATTTTCACAGTGAGAAGCACGCAAGCGCCTCTAGTGGCTGTCAATGAGACAACCACTAGAGGATTAGGGGGAAGGCTTAACCCATTCATAATTATAGCAGTTTCTCTGAAACTGCTATAATTATGAAAAAATGGGTTAACCCTAGAAGGACCTGGCACCCAGACCACTTCATTAAGCTGAAGTGGTCTGGGTGCCTAGAGTGGTCCTTTAAGAATCTGACATTCGTTTTCTGTTTGTTTTTTTTGTTTTGTTTTTTAAGAATAAGATATTATACGTGATTATCTCAATTGTTAATACCTTCCCTTCTTCCCCTCTATTTTTTTTTTTTTGTTGCTGTTTTATATTGTCAATATTGCTTAATTGATACTTTCCTTTTATCATATTAACATTTTATTTGGTATTAATTCTTTATAGATATATTGTATTCTACAAATTGTTTACAATAGTGTTATGTAATTATAAAAAAAATTCAATAAAAAATATTTTTAAAAAATGTTCTACATCGTCTTCAAGTCTACGTTCTTCCATCATGTCAAATCAGGAATGACATATAGAAAATGCATTTTATGATTCTGTATGTGTCACATTTATAGATAAATCAATATATACTTAAACTGTGATTAAACTGCATTCAATTATTTTTCATATATACTGTATAGATTTTTCTCTAACCTTTCACTAAAGAGTATAGCTATGAGGTATTTGGTTGGCACCATATAAATGCTAAAAATATTTTTTGCCACAGGGGAGCAATTACTGGAAGTACGAAAATGATCAAATGGAGCCCGGCTACCCAAAGTTAATAAAGGATGGATTCCCAGGTGTTCCAAACAATCTGGATGCTGCATTTACTCAACCTGCTATTGTAGTCAAAGGAGGCAAAGTTATCAGAGAGGAAAGACTCTTCTTTATTAAAGGTATCAAAAACTATACTATAGATGGGACTTTAGCTTAGGTATTTACCAATTGCATTCTGATGTGTTTTACAGTCCATAATTGTATGATTCTCCCCCCATGTTATCAGCGAAGTTTCAGTCGTAGTCTGATAAGACTTGCATATAAGTCAAATAAGCAATTGGTTTCTAGATGGTGATATCTTCTAACGATTTACGAAGAGATATGTTTTGTAATAAATCATTTTCTACTCACATGTTACGTGTCTTTCCCTAATTCTAGATAATGCAGTGTTATCAGCTTCAGAATATAGGGATAATATGTGTTGCAACATGGAGACCAAGGGATTGTAAGGCAAATAATTACTAATAGACACACCTTCAAAAATATTTTTTCTTTTCTTCATTTTTTATTTATTATTTTTTTTTTTAAATTTTATTTTGTGGAATTGCTTAAATTAATTCTGGGCGCACAGTCAGTCTATGTTGGAGCACATTTGGTTTATTATTATTGCCATTTATATAGCGCCAACATATTCCTTAACACTTTACTATATTATAAGAGGGGGGATTTAATTATAAATAGGACAATTACAAGAAAACTTACAGGAACGATAGGTTGAAGAGGACCCTGCTCAAGCAAGCTTACACTCTATAAGAAGTGGGGTAAAAAAACACAAAACGACAGGAAATAGCAATCAAATAAAGTGGGAGTGAAGCAGAGCTGGAGGAGAGAGTAGAGTGCTGCCCTTTAGGCGAGAGCAAGAGACAGGTATGTAAGGTAGAGGTTACTCTGAGAGGTAAAGAGATAAGTTTTAAGGCAAGAAGTCCTGCAAGCATGAGTTGGCCGTATGGGTGTGAGCAACGGACAGGAGAAGGTCACGAACCGAGAAGGGGCATACCTATGTATCTGTGAAGAGATATAACAGGTGCTAGAATTGTTCAGTGCTTTATAGGTATGGATTAGCACTTTGAATTGACTCCTATAGGATACAGGAAGCCAATGTAAGGACTGACATTGGGTGAGGTGTGAGAGAACAGACTAAAGAGGAAAATCAGTCTGGCGGCAGCATTCATTAGACTGTAGCGGGGCAATACGGCTTTTGGGAAGACGAATGAGGAGAGGGTTACAATATTCCATGCGGGAAATTACTGGAGCGTGGACAAGCTCCTTGGTAGCATCTTGTGAAAGGGGTGGATGTGGCTTATGTTTTTAAGATGGAATCTACATAATTTGGCAACATACTGGATGTGAGGCCAGAATCAAGTATGACGTCAAGACAGCGCGCCTGCAAGAATTTACTTATGTGAATACTACTAACTTGAAGGGAGAGCTAAAGAGTAGGATCAGTATTAGGAGGAGGAAAAATAAGGTGCTCAGTTTTAGAGAGATTTAGTTTCAGAAAGCGGGAGGACATCCAGTCAGAGATGGAAGAAAGGCAAGCAGTGACACGTTGCAGGACAGCAGGGGAGAGGTCTGGGGAAGAGAGATATATCTGGGTGTCATCAGCGTACAGGTGGTATTGGAATCCAAAAGAGGTCATAAGTTTGCCAAGAGAGGCAGTATAAAGAGAAAATAGAAGGGGACCAAGGACAGAGCTTTGGGGGACTCCAACCGAGACAAGACGAGGGGAGAATGGGTTAAGAGTTGTTTTGTTTTCAGGATAGGTACTACAGAGATAACAAAACAGAGAGTAGAGTCAGCGCTAATCTGTTAGGAAAAAGAAAAAGGCAGCAGTCCCAGACAAGGACTCCCTCAAGTATTCTTGTAATAAATAGACAAAAGCAAATAAGTAAGGGATGGGTCTGCACCAATAAACAGGGTAAATAAATAATAACAACAGTCTTGGTTGGGATAGTATTGATAAAATGGAGTTCAGTAGAGTAGAACTTGGATCCTATTTATGGTCTCTGAAGTTGTGATGTTCTGCTCGATGCAGTATCCAAATATATAGAAGAAGGTGATGGATGATGAAAAGGATGATCCAAAATTGTAAAAATAGGAGAGGTCTTACTTACAGTTGGCAGAGCTTAATCCGGCTCTGGTGTGAATGGCTTGCAGTGGTATTATCCCCGCTTGTAGGATATACGGTGAGTGTCCTCTTCTATGCAGTGACAGACAACCAAGTGGGAGATAAAAATGGAGACAATAATGGTGCAGTATGTTCCACAAGTAAAGTAAAAGATGTTAAAATATAGTAGATACACTCACATTCGGTAGAGCTTCTACTAGCTCTAGTGTTGTAGGCATACAGCGGTATAATCCCCGCTTGTAGGATATATGATGAGTGTTCTTGGAGATGGTATCAGGAGCTCAGAGAGAAGATAAAACAGCAATAGTGCTTTCAATAAAATATTGTTGATGTATAAAATATAATAAAATATACTCACAGTGTATAGGGCAGACTAACTGCTCTATGACAAGGGCATAGGTGGTATAATCCCCACCTAGGATTCTTTTTACAAATGAAATAAAAAAAAACAAAATAACAAAAATATAGTAATATAAAAAGATATATATATATATATAAATTGGTAAAAGTATATAAATATATAAAAAGCCAGGTTGTAGTCAAAAGATAATGGTACAGAAGTAAAAAATGACAAAAATCTATTTATTAACAGTATTTAAAAGCAGTACAATATCCAAACACATTTCACCATATAGGCTTTATCAGTGGATAAAAAAAACTTTTCAACCTGGCTAGTTGGGGTACATATAGGTACGGAACAAATTCAAATTGGCGCCAAAATTGCTCAAACCAATCACAGAGCAAATAATTATTGCACTTAAATAACAACATTTTGTGATTAAAATTGCATAGATATAGCTTATAAGGTACAAGTTGTATAATTTCAATGTAAAAACGAGCGTTATTGAAAGAGTATGTTGGCATTTTAGCCGGAACAATACCGGCCGCTCGGTATTGTGGGGCATGTAGTTTGTTAGAAAACTACGTGCATATATTACCTGCCGGCAGGGAAATATAGCCCCATATTAGGCTAATAGAGGAGGGGAGTGGCCGAGGACCGGAGGGAGGGGAGTGGCCGAGGGTCGGCTGAAGAAGTGGCTGGTCACGGCGGCCATCTTGGTGTGGGAATAAGCTTATTAGGAAAAAGAAAAAGGCAGCAGCGGCCATCTTACATGTGGCCATCTTACATGTGGCAAGAAGAAATACATAATAAAATGTGAAAAAAATAATAGTGTCTATTTTAAAGTTGATAAGAAATTCTATCAGACTGGTAGAATGGAGGGGCATATATACAGCCAGCAAATAACTTGATTAACCTTAATAATAAATAGTAAAAATATATGAACTTGTATTGGTACACGGGATTAAGGAAACACAGTTAGAATTAATAAAAGATAAAAATAATAGTATAAATAGTTAAAATAATTATAAAATGTACAGAAATAGATAATAAAAGGCAGATAAAATGTTATATAAAATTAAATAGATCAAAATCAGTGTTTAAACCATCATTGTTGTGGATAGAAAAATGTTTAGATATAGTGTGATTTTGGTATCCATTAGTAATATTTCGACAGTGTTTTGAGGCTTCTTGTGGTCATATCCACGTATTGAAGCCCGCATGGGCATTCTAGGAGGTAGATTACGTTTTTAGTAGTGCAAGTAATAAAATCTTTAATATTATATATTATATTTGTTTTATTGGATTGGAACATTTACATACTTTGCAGCATTTACACTTGAAGAACCCTTTAGTGTTGGGTAGGAGACAGGATTGTGTTTTTTTACACTCTCCCTAGTGAAGTTGGAGGTTAAAATGGATTTGAGCCTGGTAGCTCCTCTAAATACAATGTTCAGTCTCTCTGGTATAATTTTTTTCAAAGTATCGTCTTGTTGTAGCAAGTGCCAGTGTTTATTTATAATTTTTTTGACATGATTGCTTTTATTGTTAAAATTGAAAATAATAGGGAGATTGGGGTGGTTATCGGGAGTTTTTCTTTATAGGTTAGGAGTTCTGTTTTTTCTTTGGTTCTAACTACATCTATAGTATTGTTGAGATTGTCTAATGGGTAATTTTTTTCAGTAAATGTATTTTTTTTTAAATCAGCTTGCGTGTTAAAATCTTCTATCTGAGAACAATTTCTTCTTAAAAATTGGCTTTTTGGTGCACTCTCAAGCCATGGCTTGTAATGGCAACTTGAACGGTCAATGGCTGTATTTGTGCATACTTTAAAAAAAAAAAAGGTTTTGTATTTAAAATACCATCTTTAATGAAAATCTCTAAGTCTAAAAAATAAATGGTAGTTTTGCTATATTCACAAATTAAAATAATTCCTCTGTCATTGATATTGAGATGGTTGATGAATGAGTTAAGTGAGTCTTCAGGGCCGTCCCATATAAAAAAGAGGTCGTCTATATATCTAAAGTAGGTAACCAGGTTTGCCCGCCAGGCATGCTCACCCCAAATGGCAGTGGATTCCCAATCTGCCATGAAGAGGTTGGCATAGCTGGGGGCGAACCTGGTCCCCATGGCTGTGCCTCGTTTTTGTAGGTAAAAGCAATTAAAAAAACAAAAATAGCTGGATTAAGCTCTTCCAACTGTAAGTAAGACCTCTCCTATTTTTACAATTTTGGATCATCCTTTTCATCATCCATCACCTTCTTCTATATATTTGGATACTGCAACGAGCAGAACCTCACAACTTTAGAGACCATAAATAGGATTTATTTACCCTGTTTATTGGCGCAGACCCATCCCTTACTTATTTGCTTAGGTACTACAGAGGCATGTTTAAGGTCCGCAGGGACAACGCCAGAGGAGGGAGAGCAATTGAAGATGTGTGTTAAGGAAGGCACAAGACAAGGGGAGAGAGATCTGATAAGGTGAGATGGGACAGGATCGAGCGGGCAAGTGGTGGGGTGAGAGGAGAGGCTAAGTGCAGCCACCTCTTGTTCAGTAGCCAGGGATAAAGTCTGAAGGGTAGGAAAGGCATGCTCTAGCTGCATGTAGCGGACCCCTGGTAACCTGAGTTTAGGAACCCTTACGACAAGCAGGTATCAATTTTCTCCCCAGTAACTGGACACAACACACTGCTCTGGAGGTACAACAGGAATGACTCAGTTTATTTTGTTACACATGGTTTTACAGACACAGACCCTTACATGGGGTCTCCAACACAAAACAACAGGGATTTTGTGACAGATCCTTCAGTCTTGGAACTATAGTGCTATCCTGTTTGATTCGTGTTATTGCCTGTCCGTACTTCACGTTCGTTTATTTTTTAATCTACCAAATAAACTACTGAACGGCCGGCAACCCAGAAGAGGAGTGTGCTGCTGGTTAACCTATTGGCCTCAATTAGAACATTGTGGTTAACAGTAGACACCTCTTAATTGGTGGTCATCATTCATATGCTGACCATGAGGCGGCGGCCATCTTAGATGCACGAATACACAGCAGTGTTTGTCAACAAACTTATGGAACCCAAAACGGACACTTTTTCTCCCGAACACCGCTGAAACCGCCGACCTCCATTCTTTGTCATCCGGCATACGAACACTGGTCCGTTCTGGACTTTTATTTCATGAATGGACTTAACCCATATAGCCATCCCATGGAGCCCTTCGTATACTAAAAGAACAGTGTGAAAGACTTTGGCTCTATGGTGATTGAACTGTGTGTATTGGATCTGAGCGCCATTCGGTAATAATGTGCGCTCAGATCTAGGCTATCTGGGGATACGTTCTATGTACTGAATACATTTGGTAGTTTTACAGTTATGGGATTTCTTCCCAATCATCTCCAGGATAGAGAGGAGGGGTTTGCTTGTACCAAGGTTTATGCCTGAGTCACTGTGATTGGCTAATGTACCATACTTGTCCCAGTCTTCCATCTGGTCCCCTAGGGGAGTGTCCACCAGGTGGGAGACCTGCATAAATACCGGGCATGTAGCCCTCAATAAATCAGATTCCTGTTTTACCCTCAAGACGGAGCTTGGTCTCGTGTTTGGGGGGATTGCTACTTTGGAGTATTATTTCGCCTGTTCCAGGAGAGGAGGAGTTCGTATGATTGTCCATTCTGAAGTTTGGAGCTTTCCCTTGTATTCAGTTTGGGAGTTTGGCGGTCTACAGTAATTGTACCTGTGTCTCTAAAAGGGGAAGATCTACTAAACGGCGGTTTCACTCATTTATGCTGGGAGTATCTTAACAGATTTCAATACCAAGAAGCTGAAGGGGGAGGGAGGGAGGAAGGGCAAAGCATCTAGGTTAAACTGGGCTGGCAGGGTCTCTGTGGCAATGTCCTGCTGTGACAGGAAAATGAAGGGGGAAGGGGAGAGAGGTACAGGCAGACACTACATTCACAAATGAAGGGGGAGGGGGAGAGGCGTAGAGCAATACATTTCACCCCCTTTTGTTGATCCACAGCTACATGTACAGGCACAATACAAGAAAGACATAGAAATAAAAGTGGGAACACATAATGCAAGGGGAAAACACACGAATAAGCAGTGGGCATGGTCAGTGGTGTATTTTGGATATGTGCTGCCCTAGGCATGTCAAAACTTGGGTACCCCCCACCCTATCTAAATTTACCCCGCCCCTACCTGTTTAAGACGAACATGCAGTTTGACTGACAGACACACTCTGACACACCCATTCACTGACAAGCACACTCTCAGATTCACACACATTCACTGGCAGACACACACACACACAGTCACTGAAAGACACACACATTCACGGACAGACACACACATTCATGGACAGACACACACACAAACTCTGATACTGACACATTCATACACTTACAAAGTATTATAGATATTTTAAAAATGTTAATTTGAATCCACCCAGCCTCCCTACCTTTGGGAGAGCTGAAGTGGATTCTTACCCTGAGGTCCAGTGGAGCTGGCTGGTGGCTGGCTGGTTGCTGCTCTGCCTGGGCTGGCTGGCTGCTGCTCTAGCTGGGCTTGCTGGGCGGCAGGGCATGCAGGCTTTCAGTTGTGGCAGCGAGGGAGTTGTAATCGTCCTGCTCAACTCCCTCGCTCGCCGCTCAGTGGATGCTGGGAGCTGGGTGACATCATATCCCAGCTTCCAGCATCACTACGGGGTGCGAGGGAGCTGAGCAGGAAGAGCTCAGAGGGCACCCACCCTCCCCCCTGGCCACACTTAGAGCATATTAAAGCCTCGGGGGGGCCCTGAGGTGGCCAGATTACTTGCATTACTGATGTTTAGTCTGTACTGTGAGAATTCCTTACATTACAGAATACATGCCTCTGTTTTTATTGGCTGCAAAAGGTACATTTCTTTCAGAGACTGGGAATTTGAAACATGTTGAAATGTGAGAGGGGGGTGGCTAAGGAGGCTGGGTTACACTGCTGAAAATAGAAAAACATTTTACAGCACTGAATTGAAAGAAAGGAAACTAACCAGAGGTATTTTGAGCTTATTAGCTTTAATTTAAGCGAAACTTGCTTAGTTGCCTGGAGTATACCTTTAATAAAGCAGTTTTTGTGTATAGATCATACCCCTGCAGTCTCACTGCTTCATTAAACAAAAGTTGTTTTGGTGACTATAGTGTTCTCTAACGGCCGCCAGTTACTCCCTGTCAGTAGGTGGATGGTTTTAAACAGTGACAACTTGCTTAAAGTAGTGACAGGTACTTAGAAAGTAGTGGCTGGCCTGATTAGAATTGTGACTCTATGGAGACCACAAGCCGGCCGGGGTCCTCCGCTAGAGCCGTGTGTGGCATCCACACACACTGCATAAAGCTTGATAACTTTACATTCTGAGCTGGCTGCGTGCCCACATCGTGTAATTAAAAGTGCTGCTCGCAGTGCAAGCACACTCTTAATGGGCAGGTAGTTTCAGGCTCCCATTGATCCACGTCATTCCGGTGCACCCTATTGTGTTTTTTGTCCCAGTACCCTTTAATGCGTTCCTTGACCTATTGTATTGTATTCCTGTATTGACCTTGACTTTGTTCCGGACTCCATGTTTATCTTTAACTCTTTCCTGTGTTGCTTGTCTGTCTGACTGATTACCGTGTACCTGACTATGGCTTGTTCTCATTTTCGCATTCTTTTGTCTTTCTGTTACCCTGACCTTTTCCTCTGTTTACTTTAAGGCCGGCCATTCCAGGGCCCAGTTATACATTTTGTTATTTGCTGTCCTGAAATCTGCGTATTGGGATTTCACATCGTGACACCAACAGACCTACCTTGATGTATGAAATTTAATCCCCATATGAGTGGTTGTTTGATCCCTTTACGTTCTTGAACAATCTTATTTTACATTAAGCATGAACAAAACAAATCTATTGATTATTCTGACAATGCAGCTAAAATTACATCTGCAGTTAAATTTCAAACTAAATAATGTACAAATAATTTATTAGGAGTTAGTTTTTTGATTGATAAAACAGATTATGTTAATCCATAAGGTTATTGCTAACAAAATAAAGGTTGTTGATATTACTGTGTGTATGAAAAGAAAAGAAATTGATCCCTGCATTGGGAAAATTTTGTAAAACATACAATTCTGTTAAATTTGATGTAGAAAATAGACAAGATCAGAAATTGAGCTGAAGTGTTTATACTGTCATGTATGATACTGGGGATTTTTTGTGCATTAATAAAGTTTTGTTTTGTTTGGTTTTTTTAGGAAAAAAGTTCTTCTTATATGACCCAGTAACTGGAAATAGCTCCAGTCCTCAGTCACTTCAAGAAAACTGGGTGGGGATTAAGTTGCCAATCACTGCAGCACTAAGCTTAAAGAATGAGATGTTCCTCATTGGCAAGAAGACATTTCAGAAGATCCTTTTGCTGACATATACCCAGGATAGAGTGTTTGGCAACATACACCAGCAAAAAAAAATAGATCAACTTCTTGCTTGTGAGTCTACAAAAGCTTAGAGATAATAGAATCTCCTACATTTATATTATATTAATTATAAGTGCACATCTCATAACATACAGAACTGACAAATATTGATAAACACTGGAACTAGAATATATTTTGAAAGCAAAAATGTAGAAATCATACTGTCTTTATCCTTTGTTAAATATGCCAACATGCACATGTATGTTTGATGCTATTATTTGAATATAAAAATGCATATCCCCATGCAAGTGAATAAAGACAAATTTTCTGAATAAAGATGAAAATTGATAATTGGGATGTCTTACGTGGGAGCTAATGTGCATAACAACATACATAAAAAGTGACAGACACATCAATCAAATAGTTTAATGTAACATAACTGAAAGAAATTGGCTAGTTGTGTTAGTTATATAAGTTAGTTATATAAAGCAACTTCTTTGAAGAAAACATTTTCTTAAAGCAGGCTTACCCAAACTCTGGCCCTCCAGATGTTGCTGAACTACAACTCCCATGATTCTCAGCCTATCTATTTCATTCATAGAATCATGGGAGTTGTAGTTCAGCAACATCTGGAGGGCCGGAGTTTGGGGAAGCCTGCCTTAAAGGAACACTATAGTCAACCTGACCACTTCACCTTAATGAAGTGGTCTGGGTACTGTGTCCCTATTGTACTTAGTGCTGCAATGTTAACCCCTTAAGGACGGAGCGAAATGTACACGTTGTGAACAAAACTAAATGTAAACAAAACCTGGCATTTGCGCTACATGTCTGTCCAGCCGTAATACACCTCTTTCATAGTAAATGCACCAACCCTTATTATATATCATTTTATTCAGGGGAAACAGGGCTTTCATTTAATATCAAATATTTAGCTATGAAACATAATTTAATATGAAAAAAATGGGAGAAAATACGATTTTTTTTTATTTTTTTAGTTCTAAATGACATTTTAAAGGTCAGTGTCATAATACTGTTTGCTTTTACTGCAATAAAATACACATATTTGTATTTAGTAAAGTCTCACGTGTAAGACAGTACCCCTATGTACAGGTTTTATGGCGTTTTGGGAAGTTACAGGGTCAAATATAGCACTTTACATTTGAAATTGAAATTCGCCAGATTGGTTACGTTGCCTTTGAGACTGTATAGTAGCCCGGGAATGAAATTTACACCCATAATGGCATACCATTTGCAATAGTAGACAACCCAAGATATTGCAAATGGGGTATGTCCAGTCTTTTTTAGTAGCCATTTGGTCACAAACACTGGCCAAAGTTAGCGCTAGTATTTGTTTGTGTGTGAAAAATGCAAAAAACGCCAATTTTGGCCAGTGTTTGTGACTAAGTGGCTACTAAAAAAGACTGGACATACCCTGTTTGCAATACCTTGGGTTGTCTACTATTGCAAATGGTATGCCATCATAGGGGTAATTTTCATTCTTGAGCTACCATAGGGTCTCAAAGGCAACGTAACCAATCTGGCGAATTTTAATGTGAAAAAAATGAAACGCAAGCCTTATATTTGATGCTGTAAGTTTTGAAAACACCATAAAACCTGTACATGAGGGGTACTATTGTACTCGGGAGACTTCGCTGAACACAAATATTTGTGTTTCAAAACAGTAAAAAGTATCACAGCAATAATATTGTCTGTGTAATGCTGTTTGTGCGTGAAAAATGCAAAAAACATCACTTTTACTGGCGATATCATCGTTGTAATACATTTTACTGTTTTGAAACACTAATATTTGTGTTCAGCGAAGTCTTCCGAGTAGAACAGTACCCCCCATGTACAGGTTTTATGGTGTCTTGGAAAGTTATAGGGTTAAATATAGTGCTAGCAAATTAAATTCCCTTTTTACTTTCGGCATGGGTTGTCAGGCAGATCCCGCTAATTGTAATTAATTAAGATACCTAATTATGTAAAAATATTACATAAATATATATGTAGAATTAATATATGTATATATATATATACGTATGTGTATATATATGTATATATCTATATAATTTTTAAAAAATATTTTTATTTATATATAGGTATATATATAGTGATATATACGTATATATTTATGTATATAGATATATATATTATTTCGTTATACGTGTATTTTGATATATATATATATATATATATTAATTTCACAATACAGTTAGAACTAAATAACACACATCTATATATTTTTAATTATTTATTTTTAATTATTTTTTTAATTTTATTTTTTAACGTATTTACATTTTTATTTTTTTTATATTATATATAAATATATATGTAACAATAATTATATATATATTTAATCAGTATCAGTCTACGTGTAATTTGATATTAATATATATATATATAATTATATATATATATTAATAGTAAAATACACCTAGACGGTGTACATGTGTGTATGTATATGTGTATATATATATATACTTAGATCATATATATATTATATATATGATCTAAGTATATATTATTATTTTTTTACACTTTTAACTCATTTTAATTTTATTTTCAGCCAGCAGGGGGACCACCTGTCATTACAGGCAGCCCCCCTGCTGGCAATACAGAAGCCAGCTATCCCTGGCCATGTGATTGTGGGGTCCTCGCAAGGACCCCACTCTCACACGTCCGGGGGGCTTCGTGGAGGACAGACGTGCCGCAGGGGGCTCCCTGGGAGTCCCCCCCACCGCGATCGCCGGCGTGGGACCGCCGGCGACCGGGTAAGTACCGAAAGACCGGAGGGCGTACTATTATGCCCGGCGGCGTTTAGAGCCACCTATAATAGGGCGTAATAGTACGCCCTCTGGTCTAAAGGGGTTAAACATTGCAGTTCCAGATAAACTGCAATGTTTACATTGCACCACTTAGTCTGCCTCCAGTGACTGTCTCCCAGACTGCCACTGGAGGCGCTTTCTGAATTTTAACGGACCTAGAGGACATCCAGTGTCCGCTATTTCCCCATATGAACGCATTGATTCACCGTACATACACATTATCGCCTGCTCATCGTGGGACATCAGGGGAGGCAGAGCCGCGACCCAGCGCTGGGATCAGGTAATTAAATTAAGGGTTTTTAACCCTTTATTCACCCGGACGGTGGGGTGCAAGGGAGGGAGGAGGCAGTGGGAGCTATAGTGCCAGAAATACAGGTTTGTAATACAGGTTTGTATTCCTGGCACTTATAGTATCTTTTTAACAATATAATGTAAAACATTGCAGTTTTTGAGAAACTGCAATATTTACATTGCAGGGCTAAGTTCACCTCTAGTGGTTGTCAGTATGAGAGCAGTAGTGTGATCAAGTTCTGGTTCAAACGAGAGCTCAAAACATGTTGATAGTTGTAGCGGAACGCCAATATTAAATCCACGAATTCCGCTGGTTCAGGAAGTAATCCACAGTCAAGCGCTGGAAAAAGCAAGGCAATATCCCAAATCTCCCAGTAACCTGACGAAACACAGTTCTGAGAGTCAACTGAGGTCTTTATTTCCAGCTCCACAATTTATACAAGTCCCCATGCAAGGGGTTTCCTGAGTCCCCTCCCAGGGGCATTCCCAGAGGGGACTACATGGGGGACTTACTGTGCAAGACATTTCTCCCATCAGGCACTGCTGCACGAGAGGGATCCTCCCACAGGAATTTACCGTTAAGTGGATTATCCCTCCGTGTAGCAGAACCAACAATTTACATTAAAATATATAACTTTTCGAATATGCGGTTTATTTAAACGAATGGACGTTCGGTGGATAGCTGGGGTCTGAGCGCATCATTCGTGAGATTACCGCTCCCAGCTAAACCAACCGAACGCCGCACGAAAAATACATTCATTAAAATACATGTTCAAAATACCGATTGCCTTCCAGGGAACAAAATACCGAACGGCCCAGCGCTCCCGAACGGCCTGGAAGCTCAGCAGTGTTCGCACCGTCGAGTAGCCGTTTTTAGTACCATGCGCTCGACGACCAAACACCGCTGAGGGAACAAAGGATCCAAGATGGCCAACTGCCGCATGGTCGGTAGTCGAACGGCGGCCACCTCGGAGAGCCTCTAATTACCGATTGCAACATTGTGTGTGGGCTACTACATGGGGGTATTTTCGGTTCACGAACGGCCCGCAAAAGTGCCATTCATGAAACGAAAGAAAATACAATACATACAGCTATCTGCATTCGGCAGATAGCCCATACAGCAAATACAAGTTAATTACAACCAGCATACATTCTACATAGTTAAGCACATATCCCACAACCATACAGGCAACCCTTAAAGGCACAGTCTCTTTATAGTGTCCAAGTGGCTATGTTTGCCACAATAGTCATTCATTCAACTTACTTTTTTTTAACTTACCTTTCAGGCGCTTCTGCTCTTCTCCATGGGAAAGTTCCACCTCTTAGGCTGAGATAATTGGAGTACATGATCTCAGCCAATCCAATGCTTTCCTATTGGAAAACAGTGTGAGGCTAGTGTACATGCATGGCAAAAACCTCACACTGTACCCATAGGCGCGCGCCGCGTGTATATGTATGTATATATATATATATTATATACACACACATACATACACTGCTGTGTGTGTGCTGTGAGAGTGCTGTTAGTGTGATGTGTGTGTAAGGGTGCTGGTAGTGTCCTATGTGGGTGAGGGTGTTTGTGTGTGTGTGAGGGTGCTGGTAGTGTGCTGTGTGTGACGGTGCTGGTAGTGTGCTTTGTGTGTTTGTTAGGGTCCTGTTAGTGTGCTGTGTGTGGGTGCTGTCTGTGTGAGGGTGTGTCAGGGTTTCTCTGCAGATGTTTCTACTGTTCTACAGAGACTTAGAGAAAATAATAATTGGAGAAATGTGAGTTCAATTGCAAACAGGTCACATTCTTGGGCTATGTTATCTCAGATGCTGGATTCTATATGGACCCAGAAAAACTTTCTGCTGTACTAAAATGGCCTCGACCTACAGGTCTTCGCTCTATACAGCGTTTTCTTGGCTTCGCCAATTATTATCGGAAGTTCATACGCAACTTTTCTTCCTTGGTTAAACCACTCACGGATATGACCAGGAGAGATGCTGATCCACAGCATTGGTCACAGGAAGCCATTTCTGCCTTTGAGTCTCTCAAAGTCGCCTTTGCTGCTGCTCCTATACTGGCACACCCTAACCCTGCCTTACCATTCATTCTTGAAGTCGATGCGTCTGAGACAGGAGTAGGCGCCCTCCTGTCTCAACGTCCTAACCCAGAGAGCTCCAGGCATCCGTGCGGGTATTTCTCGAAGAAATTAAACCCGGCGGAATGCAATTACCAGATTGGTGATTGAGAACTTCTAGCCATAATTTTAGCTCTCAAAGAATGGAGGCACCTTCTTGAGGGTACTTCAGTGCCAATTCTCATCCTGACAGACCACAAGAATCTTACATATCTTTCCAAAGCTAAGCGACTTTCCCCCAGGCAAGCTGGATGGGCTCTCTTCCTATCAAGATTCAATTATGTGGTTTCTTACTTGCCCGGTACTAAAAACATTCGGGCTGATGCCTTGTCTCGACAGTTCTCCCCTCCATCTAGAGAGGAGATAACCCCTACTCCTGTGATTCCTCCAGACCATATACTGGCCACCATCCGTACTAGCCTCACCTCACACCTAGGCGAGGAGATTCTGGCTGCACAAAGTAATGCTCCTCCAGAGAAACCTAATGGCTGTTGTTTTGTACCTATTCATCTCCGTACTAAATGATTAAGTACATATCACAACCCCAAAGCAGCTGGACATCCAGGCAAAAACCAATTAATCTGGTTCGTCTCTCGGCAATTTTGGTGGCCTAGTCTCCGTTCGGATGTCACCGCTTTTGTAGCTGCCTGTCATGTATGCGCTCAAAATAAAACCCCACGACACCCTCCAGTGGGTCTCCTGCAAACCATACCTAATGGTGAACGACCCTGGACCCACTTGTCCATGGATTTTATCATAGATCTTCCGGTCTCCCGTGGCAATACAGTCGTTCTCATGGTTGTTGACCGATTCTCAAAGATGTCGCATTGCATTCCCTTGAAAAAACTACCAACTTCTCAGGAACTTGCAACAATTTTTGCTCGGGAGGTCTTTCGTTTGCATGGGTTACCCAAAGTGATAATCTCAGATAGGGGTAGCCAGTTTGTGTCCAGATTTTGGAGAGCTTTTTGTACACAAATGGAAATTGAGCTTTCCTTCTCCTCGGCCTACCACCCGCAATCCAATGGTGCCGCGGAACGAGCTAACCAAACACTGGAACAGTTTCTGCGTTGCTACATTTCTGACCACCAGAACAACTGGTCTGATCTGCTACCCTGGGCGGAGTTTGCCCACAATAGTGCGTTTAATGCCTCTTCCCTTCTATCCCCGTTCTTGGCGAACTATGGCTTTCAACCGTCCATATTGCCTGATACGTTCATGCCACAGGGGATACCGGCATTGGAGGAACATCTCAGGGAACTCCGTTCCACTTGGGTGCAGGTTCAGAACTCTTTGTAGCTGCGCAATGCAGAACTACAAACTCCAGGCCGACCGCAGACGCCTTCCTGCACCTACCTATCAGAGAGAGGGTCTGGCTGTCTTCTCACAACCTACGGCTCCGTGTTCCCTCACAAAAACTGGCACCCCGATACGTTGGGCCATTTCGTATACTTCGAAGGGTTAACCCTGTAGCTTACGCACTTGACCTTCCTGCTAACATGCGCATCTCTAATGTATTCCATGTTTCCCTCTTGAAACCGTTGGTATGTAATCGTTACACCACCTCAGTACCACGTCCACGTCCTGTTCCAGTTGATAATCATGAGGAATATGAAATACGCAGCATCATTGACTCACGAGTCTTCAGAGGACAGATCCAATACTTGGTGCACTGGAGGAACGCTCCTGGGTTCCAGCCTCTGATGTCCATGCACCATCCCTCCTTCGTTCCTATCACGCTCGCTTCCCCATGAAGCCCGGACCCACCAGCAGAGATGGGGGGAGTCGTTGAGGGGGAGGTACTGTCAGGGTTTCTCTGCTGTTTTAAACAGCCACCCTTCCTTTTTCAGTGTCTGAGGTTTCAGCTGTAATTAACGATCAGTTCCTTCAGCATGTTACCACGGTTACTCACCTGAGAATAGTAATCAACCCTGCTGCTAATCAGTTCAGCCTATTTAAGCAGCAAATCCCAGAACCTCCTTGCCCTTGCATGGTTTCCTGTCCCCCAGAAGTCTCCTTGTTCCTGTGTTTCCTGTTTGCTCCTGGTTCCTGACTCTGGCCTTGTTCCTGACTCCGCTGCCCTCTGTTCTCCTGATCCTGGCTCGTCTGATTACCCGCTCTGGTGACTGACCCCCTGCTTGCCTCCTGGACTTTGTTTTTGCTTATTTCTTTGTTATTTATTAAATAAAGGTGTTTTTGCATCTAGATCTGTCTCTGTCTGGTTCCTGGTTCCTGACAGGGTGCTGTTTGTGTGCTGTGTGTGGGTGTGGTGTGTTTGTGAGGGTACTGTTAGTTTGCTGTATGTGTGTGGGTGCTGTATGTGTGTGCTGTGTGTGTGTGTTTGGGTGATTGTGGGTGCAGATTAGTTAATATCCCCCCTCCCTTCTTACCTTATGTAGGGAGGGGGGACCATGCTGCTGCCATCCCTGGTGATCCAGGGGTGAGTGAACTCTAGCCCCGCAGCCTGCGGGGCTCGAGTTTACCCTCGTGAGATCTGAGCGTTGCCGCGGCAACACTCCGACCTCGCAAGAGGAAACCGGCGGAGCTGCTGGCTAGAGCTCCCCGGGTCCTCTCCTGCCTCCCTCCATGCAGCTGTGGGTCGGTGAGGGAGATCTTTGATCGCCCCACCGGCCTATGGAGGCTTAGAGCAGAGCCGGCACTCAGATAGCGCCGGCTCTGCATGAGCCGACAGGGGATCTCCCCTGCCAGTCTCAATCCATAGGCGTGCTGCAGGGATTAGGGTGTGCCCAGGCACACCTGGCACACCCCGTGCGCACGCTTATGACTGTACCTTAAGACCATCTGATTCAATAGCCGAGCTTCACTTACTATTTCAGTGGAAGCATTTTATTCCTGCAATGTGAATATTGCTGTTCCTGCAGAATGGCAATGTTTTCAGTTGCAGGGTTAAAACAAAATGGGCATGGCACCTAGACCACTTACATGAAGTGGTTTAGTTGTTTATAATGTTCCTTAAGCATTAAAAATTAAAACTGCATAAATAGAAAGTTCAACAAGTGTGGCACATATGTGGTTTGACAGAAAAACTCCCAGAAGGGAAAGTATATATGTATGTGTGTATATATATATATATATATATATATATATATATATATATTGTAACAGAGTGTTGGGGATGGTGGTCAGGGGTGTATATCTGGCACCCAGACTTTTGCACAGCCACTATCCTGACATGTGGGTAAGCACATGCAGCCCCAGGGAAAGTTAAGTTTAAATGTATGTTTTTTCCTCTGTTGTTATTTGGGTCCCTGGGGTGGAGTATTCGGAAGAGCAGGGTGGGCCGATTCTCCACCCACTGTCAGAGTGGTTGTGCATGAGTCCAGCCCAGGTTTTCCATAGAGTTCTGGATCACTGCCTAACGAGGTCATTAGCCTCACCTGTAGGGGCTGTGAGCAGCTATATAACTGCAGTTAAAGCAGGGTGAAGTGAGGGATGTGTTTTGGAGGAGAAAGAAGGTGTTTTGTGGAGAAAGAAGATTTGCTGTTAATTGTATCCTGTTACTTCACAACAACAGAAAATAAACAGACTAGAGGCCTTTTTGAAACTGGACTTTGTCTTGACCTGGTTTTCTTACCCTAGAGGGCTGTGCGGTTGCCAAAAGATCCTGGACAAACACACACAGGAAAGTAAGTTTGTCACATATGGTGGAGAATGCGGGCATCTTGGGCTTTCTGCATATGTTCTTTAACTATTGGCATGATAGCCGCCATCCTATCTTGCATTTGAGCTATGTGCTCAATTACACTATGGTACGGATTGGATACCTGTTCCCAGGTTTCTTTTGCTATATCTAGTAGACCTCTGGGATGATGGGCATATAGAAGCTCAAAAGGAGAGAAGCCCGGAGAAGCTTGTGGCACCTCCCTTATGGAGAACATTAGATAGGGTAGTAAGCAGTCCCAATTCTTACCATCTTTGTCAATTACTTTTCTTAACATACTTTTTAGGGTCTTGTTAAACCGTTCTACCAGTCCGTCTGTCTGGGGATGATAAACAGAAGTCCTAAGATGTTTAATTTGAAGTAGTTTGCATAACTCCTTTGTAACTTTAGACATAAATGGTGTACCCTGATCTGTCAAAATTTCTTTTGGTATGCCCACCCGGCTAAACATGAGCATGAGTTCTCTCGCTATTGTCTTTGCAGAGGTGTTACGTAGGGGTATTGCTTCTGGGTACTTGGTAGCATAATCCAGAATCACCAATATATACTGATGCCCCCTTGCAGACTTTACCAGAGGACCCACCAAGTCCATTGCAATCCTCTCAAAAGGTATTTCTATTATAGGCAATGGTACCAGAGGACTGCGATATGCCTTAAAAGGGGCGGTGTGTTGGCATTCAGGACAAGAAGAACAATAATTTGCAACTGAAGCGAACACCCCAGGCCAGTAAAACCTCTGTAAGACTCTTTCTCTTGTTTTTTCTATGCCTAAATGTCCCCCCAGTATATGGCTGTGTGCAAGATTTAGGACTGTATGTCTGAAGGGCTTAGGAACAAGTAGTTGTTTTACAACATCCATCCCCTTTTTCTCTACTCTATAGATCAAATCATTCTGTACCTCAAAATAAGGAAAAGAAGGGGCTCTATCTAGTTGTACTGGATCATCAGTTGAAACCTGGATATTTTTACGGGCCTCTGCAAGAGTGGGGTCTTCCCATTGCGCTTTCCTGAAGTTAACAGGACTGACTTCTAATTCAGGGAAGTTAATGCCTTGATCCTGATCGTTATCGGTCTCCTGACTATCGTGGCCCTGGTCATCTCCTACTAAAGCTGGCCTGTGACTTGAGGCTTCAGCCTTCTCTGGTCTTATGCCTAGTCCTTCCCATTCTATGTCAGAAAAAGGGAACACATTTCTAGAATCATCATTTGCTATACAATCATGAACTATTTTTCCTGTAGACCCCCACAAGTCTAAAAATTGGGGAAAATCTCTTCCCAATATCACATCATAAGCCAATTTATCCACTACACCCACTCTATGATTAACAGTACCGAAAAGGCTTTCAAATTTTAGCAAAGCTGTAGGATATTCACGTTTGTCACCATGAACACAAATTATACCAATTTTCTGAAATGCATCAACATCGGCTTCAGGTACAAGGCATTTTGTTATCAATGTCGCCATACTTCCAGAGTCTAATAGAGCTCTAACCTCTTTCCCATTCACCCTTATGGAACATATCTGTGGATTGTGACTACAGTTGGCAACAGCAGATTCCATACAATTCAGCAAACAAGACAATTGTACATCCTGACTAATATTGCATTGCATCGGTTCATCAATCAAGGGACAGTCTCTAGCTTTATGTCCAGGTTCATTACACCGGAAACATTTCATATTATCAACTGTCCCCCACCTAGACCCTTTTCCAGGGTTAACATTTCTAGGCATAAGCGTATGGGGTCCCTGAGAATATGTCTCTTGTTTCTCTGTGTCTCTGAAACCTTGAAAAATCTTACCAGGTCTTTCAGGAGCTGGAGTCTTAACTCTCTGCTTATCCAATGCCTATGGTCGATGAATTGATAGAGATACTGGGTAAGGCTCGGTACCTGACTACTTTAGACCTGACGAAGGGTTATTGGCAAGTACCTCTTACAGACAGAGCAAAAGAAAAGACAGCTTTTTCTACATCAGGGGGATTATTCCAATACAAGGTGCTACCATTTGGGTTACATGGGGCCCCTGCCACTTTTCAGAGACTGATTGATAGGATTTTGAAGCCTCACAGCCATTATGCGGCCGCATACTTAGATGACATAGTCATTCACAGTCCTGACTGGGCTTCACATCTTCCCAAAGTGCAGGCAGTACTAGACTCTATCCGCTTAGCTGGTTTAACTGCTAACCCATCTAAATGTACTATAGGTTTGGAAGAGGCAAAATATCTGGGTTATTCGATTGGGAGAGGACTAGTTAAGCCCCAAACAGCAAAAGTGGAGGCCATACAAAATTGGCCACGCCCCCTCACTAAAAAGCAAGTTAGGACTTTCTTGGGACTTATTGGGTATTACAGGCGATTTATTCCTGGTTTTTCTACATTAGCAGCTCCTTTAACGGATCTCACAAAAGGAAAAGCCCCACTAGTGGTTAAGTGGTCAGTAGAGGCAGAAAAATCGTTTGTAACTTTGAAAGAGGCTTTGTGCACCCAACCGGTTCTGATAACCCCGGATTTCACTAAAGAGTTTATTGTCCAAACCGATGCATCAGAGATTGGGTTGGGGGGGTTCTGTCTCAGGAAATTCAGGGTGAAGAACACCCAGTGTTTTATTTAAGTAGGAAGCTGACTCCCGCTGAAAAAAATTATTCTATAGTGGAAAAAGAATGCCTTGCCATAAAATGGGCCTTAGATTCATTAAAATATTATCTGTTGGGTAGAAAATTTAGGTTGGTCACAGACCATGCCCCCTTAACCTGGATGAGTCAAAACAAAGATAATAATGCCAGGTTGACAAGGTGGTTCCTCAGTTTACAACCATTTCATTTTACAGTTGAACATAGGCCAGGTTCTAAACATGGAAATGCTGACAGTTTGTCGCGAGAAAATTTGTTTTCTGTGGTCGCTCACCCCACTAGGTCTGAGCTGGGGGGGAGGATATGTAACAGAGTGTTGGGGATGGTGGTCAGGGGTGTATATCTGGCACCCAGACTTTTGCACAGCCACTATCCTGACATAAGCACATGCAGCCCCAGGGAAAGTTAAGTTTAAATGTAGGTTTTTTCCTCTGTTGTTATTTGGGTCCCTGGGGTGGAGTATTCGGAAGAGGAGGGTGGGCTGATTCTCCACCCACTGTCAGAGTGGTTGTGCATGAGTCCAGCCCAGGTTTTCCATAGAGTTCTGGATCACTGCCTAACGAGGTCATTAGCCTCACCTGTAGGGGCTGTGAGCAGCTATATAACTGCAGTTAAAGCAGGGTGAAGTGAGGGAAGTGTTTTGGAGGAGAAAGAAGGTGTTTTGTGGAGAAAGAAGATTTGCTGTTCATTGTATCCTGTTACTTCACAACAACAGAAAATAAACAGGCCAGAGGCCTTTTTGAAACTGGACTTTGTCTTGACCTGGTTTTCTTACCCTAGAGGGCTGTGCGGTTGCCAAAAGATCCTGGACAAACACACACAGGAAAGTAAGTTTGTCACAAAATATATATATATATATATATATATATATATATATATATATATATATATATATATATATATATATATATATATATATATATATATATATATATATATATATAGAGAGAGAGAGAGAGATACATACACCCTGTTCTAAATTATTATGCAAATTCTATTTAAGTGTCACAAAGATTAAATATTTTGTTTTTCAGTTTAACTCATGGATGGCATTGTGTCTCAGGGCTCTTTTGACCACTTAAAACAATCTCGGACACCTGTGATAATTAGATTGCCAGGTGAGTCCAATTTAAGGACATACTACTGTTACTGTTGCCTCCAGGCTGGCTGGAAGTTGGATCGTAGAAAAGCACTGCAGACTCCACAAACCGCTGCTGCTGGGGTGGGATCTCGCCATCTGCTATCCACCCTGGACCGACAACCAGGCTCCAGTAGGAAAACCTCTTCCTTCTGTAGAGTGAAGCAGGATCAGGAACAAGAGCTCCAGTGGATAAAAAGTTAGATGGAAGTCCTTTATGACCGACAAGACTACATGTTGAGGGTCAAGAAGAACTGACTCCAATGAGCATTTATTCCTGCTTATATACAAATTTCCCAGCAAGGTTACCACCCACGTGGACCTTGTGGGGCAATGAAACTGTACACTTTGCAACCAATCAAATAAAGGCACATGGATAATCACTCCCACTTATTATAGTAAGAATCCTACCCTGTGCTTGGGAGATAATTGAGTTAATTAACTCGGTTATCTATATGCTAAAACATGTCTTTAGGCAAAACCGCCGTTTAGTAGACCTTCCCCGTCTGCAGTAACAGTAACTCCGTTCGCCTAACCTGTAGTACACGAACCAAATGCAGGGGAAGCGGCAATCTCCCGACTGGGA